TCCTCGAGAGGGGAAGGGCGACGCCACCCTAAAAGCGGCACTGCCAAATGGAACGCGTGGAAGCCAGATGGAAGGAAGCACCTGACCTGATGCACTGGTGCTCCACCATGCACCAATGCCCCCCCAGCGCCAGCGCCAGTGTAGGTGCGGTGCAGCCAGTGACGCCGTGACGGGCAGAGCCTTCTTCCAGTGGCGGGCACCGCGGTCGATTCGTCGCCGTCACACAGGCTCTTCCCCCTGCCGGTTTCAGATATAATTCCTCCGACACAACATCCAACAATGATCGCCTTGCAATTAATTGGTTGGTCTGGAACGTGCCAGACTTTCTAATGATCTTACTTTACACTCGTACACTCGTACCTCTTCGCAATCAGGTGCGCATTACGGCATACCTAGCTAGTAACCGAGTAGCATACTTCACTCTTTACTCTTTAAACGTGAGTGAGCACAAGTGATGCATTCCGCTTCCCCTTACCGTGCCTCTGGGTCAGGTGGGACGAGCACCACGACCGGACCGCCAAGAATATGTCAAAATCATACGGGCCGAAGGGGTAGCATCACCTCAAATGTCCCAAGACTCGCAATCGATGGCATCACTTCTGGCGCCAGTTGCTGATCGTTTCCGCACATCAGATAAGGTAGATCGGCAGAGAAACTAGATGAACCAAGCCTACCTGTACAGTCAGTCAGTCTCTGTGCACGTACAGTACTAGCGGTACACGTCGTTCATCCCCAACCCCAATCTTGGACGCGCGGGTCCAGGCCTCACTATCGTCCTCTGGTTGTGTTTGTCCACCTCTTTTTTTGTTGGATTTAGACTATTTTTCGTGACTCACGACCCACGCGAGACCAACGGGACCAACGCCGTCGGTGCTTCAGTCAACTCGGGCTGTGAGCTTCCTTCAGTTCGGCAGCCTGTTCTCAACCACCAGCATCACGAAAATTCCCACCTACCTAGGTACTCTACAGCGCATACACTATCCGATGAATTGCTCTTGGTAGGCAAACACTAGAGCCTAGTACGTGGCTTGCCGCGCATGCTCCACTACCGGTATACCTTGACCCAATGCCAGTCGCTTGCCTACCTCGACGGCGTGTCAATGGTGCGCCCTTCGGACTTGCGCAACTCGCGATGCTGGCTAGCTGGCAAGCAAGCCTCAAGCTTCAGGTGTCACCCTTTCGGTGACTACAGTCGTGACTGATTGCCATGATCCGGGTCATCATAATATCCGCAGTTCTTCTTTATCAGTTTCCGCCACCGCCTGTTTGTCCAGGCGTCCAGGTGGCAGCCACCTTGCCTACGCGACCGGGGGTGCGATGTGACAGTCGAGCTAACTAACGAAACAGTCGTGAGCAACCATTTCTTTGGTCTTAATGCTATATGCCATATGCCAGCCATAACCAGTGCTAGTCCGCTCCCCAGCCGTGATCGGAGCTGTGGCCAGCACTACGAAGGCGACCCAGCTGCTCCGGTCGCATTCAGACACGAGCGGCTCGAAAGGGAAGGCAGTTTTCTCTCTCTCGGCGATTACGCTCTGCTGAGGAAGCTTCTCCGTGATCCACTTATTCGTCCAAAAGAGTTGCTTAGTTCTATTTGCCAGAGGAGATGGACGAGCCAAAGCTGACGCTTGCTAGAGTCAGCCACTATGTTCGTAGCATCAAAACATCTTTTGGGTATAGTTGTCGATGCCTGTCACACAAGGGTAATCGTCTTGGGAAGCATCCAGCAAGCCTAAAGACGAAACGCTATCGCATCTCATGATAGCAGATGTATATGTTATCAAGGCCACTCGAAAGCGCGTAGGCCCTTCGTCATTGTCACTCTCAAGCCTGATTGTCTGTATGTCCGTAATTTGTCGAGCAAATGGCCATTGCCCACCTTAGGTATGTACAATCAGCCATGTCGGCGACTTCAAGGTGACCCAGTCACTGGCCATTGGCTCCATAGGCCTTCTCTAGACTTGCTGCGCTGAGAAGACGGTGCATTTAACTCCACTAGGCGTTCGTCGTGGCAGATACCAGACCAGGTGTGCAGTTGTTGACTGTCTTGGTATCGGAAGGACGACCTCTGCTCCATTCGTAACCCAGATGTCAATACCAAGCTTCATGGGCGGAAAGAGCATGGCTTCAAGAGACACATCAACATCTAGAGGGCCAGCTTGTCAGGCTTGGTAGTCGACATGCGCACGAGAACGCCTGCAGCAACAGCGTGTCATAACTCAGTACGGAGTGGGTTATCACTGCAACGCAACCCTACTACCGGAGTACACGGACAGAAATAGTAAGCATACCGTTAATCAGTCACTTCGAGAAGGCGGCAGAACGTATGACGCTCCAGTCATGACAGCAAGACTGCCGGACCTTCTGGCCACTCGACCAGGTGCGCCAGGAGATGGGTAATATCAAATGGACAGCCCTTCTACTTAAAAGGTCTGCTGTTTGTCGATCGTAGCCAATAAAGATGGACGATCGCCTATTTTCAACCAAGCCCTAGTAAATGAAAGCCACTAGATTCCTGTGATGTGAGCATCTAGTACAATACAGGTCTGAAGTACCAAAGGTCCGTCCAGAATGCAACCACCAATGGAGCTTTTCCGGTGAAATAAGCAAGGGAGTCCCCTCCAAGCCATCTAAGCAGATTTCGGGGATTCGAGTTATAAGTCTACCACATCAACTGTGACTGGGCACCACCCGGGAATCGCCAAGCTCAGGCCGTATATGTCAGGACTGGGCAATTGTGCCGCCGGGCCGTATCGTCCCCAAGTCTCGTCCTCATTGCGTAGATGCGAAACCACGGGACGGCAGCTTGAGCATATCGGCCGAACAGCACGACTCCTGGTCTGAAAGAGGGCTATTCGGCCAAGTCCAACGGAATCTTGCGGTTCCCTTGGTTCGTCCCATGAACCGCAGAAGGCTGGGAAAATCTGCAGTCAGGTAGCAGGAGGCCATAGCGTCAATCGCATCGTTGCTGGCGGCTGTATGGACAGACCAGGTTGAGAGTCGACGACCCGACGACCCATCGCGCACACGCTTAGGCATGCCGGCCGTCCAGTCTGCTGTACGACGAAGGGGCGACAAGGCCAATCCCGAGTGCAGAACGCTTGATCAGGGCCGACCGGTGGGAATTGACACGGGGCATGACGCGTAGTGGTAAAACAGAGCAAAAAGACAGGTTCTTGGTTAAATTACCGAGCCGTATGGGCGATGCATCCTGTGCAATCCGGCAGCACCTTTCTAACGTTATAGTGTTTGTGCCGTTGCGGTCACGTCCCTCTCAGCCGGATCCGCGAACCGGCCATCTCGCTCCTTGTCCAAACAGGAATGTGCGAAGGACGTTTCCATTTGTTCCGCGAAGCCCCTGTCCGGCGCACGGAGATTGGATCACTACTATGCAGTATGTGCGACCTAGAGACGACCCGTGCACAGCAAACAAACCTTTGATGGTAAGTCGGCCAACGCGATCATCGGTACGTTGAGCCTACCCGTGTCCTCTCCTCTCGATGCTGTGGGTTTGTAAACGTGCTGGACATGTAGGCAGGGGGCTACTTAGACGTAGGTAGCCAGTGAGGTTCGCTCGCCGCATTTGCGCGCTGGCATGGGGTAGAAGCCGCACACCTACTGCATAGTAGAGTAGGTCCAGGCGACCGCCCAGACTCAGTCTCGCTGCACCAATGCCGATCGTCCAATGCCTCGAGCAGCCCAGACTCAATCGTGCCACTCTCACCCTTACTGAGATTTCGGCCAAATTAGAGGAGTCCCAAACCACAGGTCTGGAGACTATCCTTTGCAAAAGCGAACGGCCCACAAACCTCGATGCTCGGTTGAGCGATGCTGTTGTGAGACTTGGCCTTTCGGAGACTCCAGGTTAAGAGGCTCGATAGTGCCCAGGGGGGGAGGGGGGGGACAACGCCAGGTGTACCCTTGCCGGTGTGCAAGCCAACATCCTGATGCGGTATAGCGTTGGAATCGGAGATGGCGATTCTAGAAGATTGCTAGAAATGTCCTAGTCGATGCAACCCGCCCACTCCATCGCCAGCGGAACAGAGATCATCTCAGCCGCTTCGTGATCCCGGCTACGCCGTTGCCAGGCCCCCTTTTCACATTTCCACCCCTGGCAGCATCCGCCTCCAGCTCGAATCTGCGAAGCGACTGAATTGCTAGAGTCAGTCGCATTGCGGCTGATCATTTCTAGCGCGTCCATTGGGTTAAGCAGCGCTCTGAATCCACTCACAAACCGAACTGTCTGCTATTTTAGGCAAGTGCATGTAGATAGACAAAGTGCGGCCGAGATGGGCCGTGGTCCTTGTGCAACTCGGCCGACCCATGAGGTTGGTTCTCCCCGCCAGCGTTGCCCTATTGTGTTGCCTCGGCAATGCTACACGCTGCTACAGTGAAGATCCCTCGATGCCATACTGGGGAGGTAGTTTGACTGCCAAGAGTCTTACTCTGACCGAACACAGGCCAGAAAGCGTATCACGCGTCAGGTACACCACCGTCAATTGGACGAGCTAACATCACGGATTCACTTGGGCTGCCTGAAGTTCCATTCACAACATGTTGCAAGGTGTGGAAACTTATTTGCCGCAACAAGGTATTGATTCTAATGTTAACAGGTCCTAATACACGTATCCCTCGCCTGGCCTGTGACATAATCCATAATCCTACACCAACCAAGAAAGGCCTGGCCGACAGGACTCAAAATCAAACAGAGTCTAATATTCCAACAAACGCCGAAACCCCATGCCGTAGCCATCGTGGCCATTGTGCTTGACAACACTGAAGATTGAGAAGAAAAAAAATAAAGTAATACAGTTCTTTTGACAAGAACAAACACAATCAGACAAAACAAATTGCCGATGAGCTCCGGCCGAGCCTCCTCTCTAGTTCATGACAGTGGTAGTCCTAAGTTGGACATTGTCCCATAGGTCGATGGCGAGCCGACGGTGGTTCCATGCGACAAGCCCAGCTGATTTTGACTGTTATCTTCCGCCGTTCCAAAATTACAAGGCAAGCTCAAAGTCCCCTGTAAAGCCGCCGTTGAGAATGACAGCCGCAATGCGACGGCGCTGCAGTGGCAGCTCGTCTGATTTATAGTGTGTCGGATCAACTCCGAGAGCGAGACACATCCCGTTTGTAACAGCGTGTACGCCGCAGTCCCATCCATTTACTTGGGCCGGCGAAATATGATTCACAATATCCCATTCGTCGCTGACAAATGAGTCCTGGAGGATGTCCCTAATCCACTTCAGAGTATTGGATGTGATGTCAGGGCTACCCGCACCATTCCGCTTGAGAGAATCCATGTGTGTAATTGTGCGCTTTTGTGGACGGACGACGACAAGAGTCCAGTGGTTGTCACGGCAAATGGGTACGAGGATAGTCTCGATATCAAGGAAATTGTCCTTACGGACACCTGAGCGCTTCATTTGTCGAGCACTGCCTTCTGCCCCGTTTTTAGCGAGTTTGGCTCCAAAGAAAGAATTGAAGACCATGCATTTTGCGGTCTGGGTCTTCGTGTTGTTGATACCCGCCTGCTTGTTGATGTAATTTGCAACATGGATCAGTCCACTATTGACAATCTCGTCGTTGAGCCACTCCGTAGGCGGCACTACTGTCCTGAAGTCTCGTCTCTTCAGGCCTGAACCCTCCGGAGATTTTGCAAGCTCGGTATTCTCTCCAGCGGAGAGAGTCTGTGTGACTTTCATATCCCACTCATGGGTAAGGCTTGGTATGATGGAATGTTTGGGTGGACGCAAGACCCTTCTCGAAGCCTGACGGGCCTCCTCTTGTTGACGTACTTTTTCGAGGTGCGCCTTCTCGGCCTCTTCTACTTTGCGCCGCTCTTCCTCCTCGCGATCCTTCCTCTCTTGTAGACGAAGTGCATGCTCTTCCTTCTTCGCCTCGCTAATTTGAAGCGTAGTATCGAAAAGCTTCTCGAGCTCTGATGGCTCATCGAGCATAGCCATGCGAATATTCCAAGCTGCTTGCTTTTCGACAGTGATTGACTCCTGCGCGACGGGAAGTGGTTCAGTAACATCTTTTTCGTCCTCGGGAGAACCGTGGAACACCAGCTTTGTCCGCGGCGGCGTCTCTGGGCTCTCTGGGGTCTCAGGGCTGTCTGGAGTGCTAGGATCTGTGTTCTCGGGGTTCCCTCTGAATCTTGGGGTTCTCGCAGGCGACATGTAGTACGCCACTGGACTGACAAAGGCAACGCGTGTTGGTGCACGTCTTGAGTTTCGTGCTTGGGCGTTACGGTCGGCCATCACAGCGTCAGTGTCTCTAGGACGGATCCTGGACTGGTTGGCGTCTCTGATTGTAGTCGCCAAATGAAGTCTCATGTTGACTTCTGCCCTATCCGGTTCCCTCCTAGCCGCTATCAAGTCCAGGGGCAGTGTGGGTGGTGAGGGTGAGCGAGGTGAGCGAGCGTTGCGCGTGCTGTTGCTCTTAGCAAGAGCGATGTTCGCGTCGATTGCGCGCTCGTCCGGAGACGTAGCAGAGTGAGAGGGTGTGTCCACATCCATGGGAGAGCCTGTGGAGTCGGTTTCAGACGGCACCGTAAAGGTAAGGGTTGGCCCAACTGGAGGGGATGATGCCCAGGAGTCGGTATCCGACGGCACCCTGAAGGCTCGAGATGGCTCGATGTCGTTGAAGTGAAGGGGACTGTCCCCCAATGCGTGCCGGTTCATGTCCGGAGTGTCATGGGCTGGGGACCGAGCAGAGGATGAAAGCGCATGGGCAGGAGAGGATTGTGTGTCCTCATCTCTTGCCAAAATACCTTGCGCTGGGTAGAATTGTGGTCTGTCTTGTCCGGGCAAGTGGACTTGTACCAGAGCATTGCGCTGTGGCGATGGCATCGACTGAGCACTTGAATTTGGGCAGCGGTAGTCGTACAAAAAATCGAATTTGAGTTCGTCCAGAGAGATGTAGTCGAAGAGTAAGTCTTCCACAATACTGGGGAAAACGCCTGGCATGTCTATGACTTTCCAATCGATGTAGCTTACGGGAATTTCCTCTTTGTGGTATGCATCAAAATCCATGGCAATTTGAGCCAAGGAAAGCGCGTCCGAGCGGCTGAGGTGCATAGCCTCGCGCTGCTCGACGATGTATCCCAGGAACTCAGCACAATGGCGAAAGTATGCTTTGTTGACTCCCGTCCGACGGAATGGCTTGAATCGCTCCGTAGGAAGTCCAAGTATATTCGCATCCCTCAATTCCTGGAGATTTGCCTGCGAGTAGATTGTGGAGATCATGTCCATGGTCTCGCGAAGAAGCCTCGTCCATCCCTCTGCGACAATCAACATATTATCTTCGCAAGCGGCTGCAAAGTTTGCGATCATGTAATTATGGACAATAATGCTGAAGGGAATATTGTGCGAGGGGAATTCCTCTTTAGGAACTTGATCGATGGTCATGGCGTGTTGATGTTCGTCGTCGAACCACGATTTCAAGCGCTCTCGCCAGTTGACAAGGTCCTGGAGCGTCTCATTCAAGAAGGCGAAAACCTGTAAGAGAGCACCTTCACCGATGTATCTTGTGACATCGTCTGTCCAAACGAAGCGCTCGAGGTAAGGGATGGCTTCAGGACGCAAGGTATTATGGCCGTCAGTGTTGCGATCTCGGATGTTATGGGGTAGACGCTTGAAACGTTTGACTGTAGGGGCGTTCGGATTGCTTCGATGTATGCGCTTCACGGTAAGAACGTTGTTGTTGACGCTATGAACTTCCTCAACCTCGTACCGGGGTACAGGGACAGCTATCGAGATGTTAGCTGGAGAACAGGGATAAATATGTGTGAGGACTTACGACGACGGGTGAAAGTCCGAGTGACACGATCATATACGTGCCGAAATCCCGAAGCGACCATGCTCCGATCGATGGAATTGTAAGCGGTGGCGATATGGTTTCGCATCCGTCTCAGAAACTAAGGTACGAAGTATTCAGTCAGTAGCGGTCGGAAGACACTGAGCACATCGCGAAGACTTACCCCTGGATTGGAGGCCTGAGTCTCGCCGACTGAGGATTCTTCGGGTTGAGGTTGCGCGCTCTGGGCCTTATGTTGGTCCTCGCGCTGCGCCGCCTCTTGGGCATTTACCTGGTTTTGATCTTGCATTTCTTGCAGATTCGGGACGATCGATTGCTGCGGGCTGTCGTGCTGAGCAATTAGCTCTGCTTCGGACACCTCCGCTTTGCGCTTGCGATTCAGCTTAGTGGCATTCGCCGTAGATTCTTGTCGATCAAATGCGAAGACGGCACGGATGTCTCCATCATCGCCATGGAGGAAGAACCGCGTGCAATCTGGGATATCGGCAGACATGGCCTGTTCATAGGTGCCGAAGACAATAGGGCTACGATGTTGATATTTAAGAAACCCTTTGAGCAACTGTTTACTGGTCCAAGGCCCGCGAATCTTGCCAACAAGGTCGATTTTGAATTCGTTATTGCTGGGCGGCGGGGATTGTGAATTCTCAACCTTAAGGGAAGAGGCGGTAGACGAAGCTGTTGATGCGACAGGACCGTTGGTAGGTTGTTGGCCAGTGGCATCAGTAACGGCAGAAGGGTGGCTGTGTGGCGTGTGGACTGGAGAGTGGACAGAAGTGCGGACAGGACTGCGGACAGGAGTGCGGACAGGACTGCGGACAGGAGTGCGGACAGGGACTGAGGGACCCTCTGGTCCAAGTGCAGAGGTGGTAGGGGTAGGACTGGAGGGTGTCTCCAATCTTGGATTCTGTGGCAGGTGCGAGCGGCGGCTGCGAGTGCTCGCCGCGGTTCTGATGATGCCGGGCATGGTTAGCGACTGTCTTAAGAGTAGACAATGTCGAGCTCTGGTTTCTTGATGGAAGGTGGCAACGGAAAGAGGGGATGGAAGATTCTTCTCTTGGTATGAGATGAGAATATTCAGTCAAGGAAAAGAGGAGCGCGATGGACGTAAGAAGGTGCAACGCGGCAGAATGATGACCGCAGGATAGAGTGTTGTTGTCGTCGAGGACGCTGGCACCCACGAGGAGGTTGCGATGACAACAGACACCAGTGCGTTGCTGCAGAGATGGACTTGCGAGGAACAAGAAAGCGTGCGCGCACACAAAGAGGTGATGGAAATTGGGAACGGAGGGTAGAGTCAAGATCAGAGATCTGGTATGAAAGAAGAGGTGTGTGATAGTTGGTAAATGAAGATTCACCGGGCGATGGATTCTTGCGATGCTTTGGTTGCTGGATGCGAGAGCAGAAGAAGATGTAGATCGCGCAGTGAAGTGGTGGGAGAAGGAAAGCAGGAGAGAAGGTGTATGTGTGTGTGTATGGGTGGGGAGATAAGTAGAAGCATAAGGTGACTGTAAGGAGACGGGGTGATTTGGTACCTGCGAGTGTGGGTGGATGTTTGTGTGTAGCAGGAAAGAAGTGGTTCCTAATCGGGTCGAGCAAGATCACACACCCACACACCTGCACACCGAGATCTGAATAGATCAGATCAGATCAGATGGAGGGTAGGGCAGCCCGGGAATTGAGGCCAACCAATCAAAAAAGGCTCTCGGGAGGGTGACGACCTCGAGACGTCTGGCCAGCCACCTTAAGAGATACCTAGGTACCTAGCTACCTACGGAGAGCGCGCGCACACGGTACACACCGACGAGGAAGGAGCAGATGTCAACCCCGAAAAGGTAAGGCCGCAGCACTTAAGGTTCGAGAAACGTGCGCAAGGGTCGAGGCAGGAGGAGGCAGGAGGAGGCAGGAGGAGGCGGGTCTAGCCCTTTACGTCATGTCGCCCAGCCAGGCAAGGCACAAGCGGGTCGACGCCTCAGGTTGCTACGGCTCTATGGTCTTCGGTGGTCGTCGGCCGTGGGGAGGCCCTCACAGGCGTTTTGCAGCACAGCGCGCGCTGAGGTTTGGGGAATGTGCCATACCGGCCTACACGATGTTGACGCTGGAGGTGCTGCAGCCGAAAGACTTTTTGCGGGGTGTAGCCGCACTAACGTTGTCTTAAGGCGTTGAGGCTCCCGGCCTAGTGCACCCACCCGCTTTCAGTTAGCCCGGTCCACCGCACCCATTTCATCCCTGGCAGCCTGTAAGGATGCCCGATTACAGAAAATCCGAGCACCGACCAATCAACAATCCCAGCGCTGTTTTGAAGGGGCGCAACGAGCCCTACAACGTTCGACCGCCCTTATTAAAGGTGACCTACCTACAGGTAGGCTCCCCTTACCCAACACCACAACCCTGTTGCAGAGGCACATGTTTCACACAGAGCATCACGCGCGCCACGTGTTTGTGACGGCATCTTTCACCCGTCGTCAGCCTAGACTTCTCGTTTCTGCATTGGGAACCATTGATCCGCGTCTTGTGTCATACCCAGGTACCCTGCAAGCCTCTGCACGGCGGCTACCTAGGTACACAATGTTTTGTGATTGATAATAGCTATAATCAGAAAATCCAACACGACCCCGGGAGACCAGAGTTTGACAACGCAGCCAATCGCACTTGGCTTGCGTGGTGACTGTACAACTGTTGGATTTAAGGTTCAAAACTTTCTACGTACTACAATTTTCGTGTCATACCGATGCACTTTCTATGGTTTCTCTCGACCAGTGAGTATGGTGCCACATTACAAGCTGCCCTTCCAGTGTGGTCGATCAAAGAAAATGCAGCTCAGCCGCAATTCACCACAAGTCGTCATCCATGTTGGCAATGGCCCGGGATTGTGTAGCTCAGCGTCTTCCAACCCCTAGGAAAGGACTGTATTGTGGATTTCAAGTAAAACTTAAGTAGATGGGCCACAATGGCGAGAATGATATAGACCTTTCATTAAACGTCTCATAGACGGCCCGAGTGCCGATGGCGGGTAGGCTCGCGAACTTCGCCTCGTTCCTTCTCTTTCCATCAAATTTCTCCTACCCAACGAGATGGACCCCAATTTCATGTATCAATGGACTCCCTTGTGAGGCAGCCCCGTGCTATATACTCCAGGTCACAGTCATACCAGCGCTTCCAACATTGATGGATCCTCCTGGCTCGCGCCCTGTGCCAATTGTTCGACGCTTGATCGAAATATTCAATTTTGCCTTGCTTGACTATACATCTACCCCGCGAGCCAAATCACAACACATGCTAGGATCATGGCGCCACTAATCATGGCCCATCCAACACCCTTTCGACTTGACAGAAGAACTTCGATATATAGACCTACCAGCAATACACCAACATCAAGAACTTCTACCAGCATTGCAGTCATTTTCGACCCTTCCCTCGGAGCTTTCAGGTCTTCTTGGGTCCCATCTTCGATACATCTAGCTACTGTCGAGCGTGCGGCATCGTTCAATAGAAAATATCTCTAATCATAGCTGGGCCATCGTGTCTCCCAACTTCTTCGTGCAGAAGGTGCTGAAGTATTGGTTGATGGCATCGACGGTGCCGCTGCCCTCGGCCAGGCTGACAACCAATGCAACGTAGCCGTCCGGGCGCACAACGACCACGCCGCCCTTTTCTTCGTCCAATCCCATCTTCGCATGTGCTGCTGCCTTGGCCTCCAACACCCGGCGATCCCATCGGTCATCCGCGTAGACGTGCTCTCGATATCGGCCAAGAATCGTCGGCACGTCGCGAGAAATTTCTATGCTGCTACGAGGGGCGGCAAATATGGTGCTAAAGGTGAAGAAAAGGCTGTGCGGGTTGTGCTTCTCATGGTGGGACACTTTGTCAATGTCTTGTCGCGCATAAATCTTGAAAAACGACCCTTTTCGTTCGAGATTCGCCGCGAAATCTCTCAGTGCAGCACGGGTTACGGACAGCCGCCCAGCGAAAATGAATATACGGAATGAGCCGTTGAGCGGAATCTCTTGCTCCAGATGGACAACGTTAGCGTCCACAACGCGCGTGACATCAGCATTGATGAGCAATCGACCAGTCCGCAACTTAGTCCCTTTTGGATGGACTAAGGGTGATTGCACCGGGTGGCTTGGAGACCAGTTCAGAGCATTTGGTTGATACGCAACACCGTAGCCACTGGTGAACTCGCACGACTCCTTGAATGTTCGCACAAAGTCGTTGTCTTCTTCCTTTTGCTGGCTGGCGCTCTCGGAGGCTGCCTCGATTTCACTTGCAGCCGGCTGACGCTGGGAGAAAAGCTTTGCGTACTTGTTATCAAAAGCGAGGAGCTTCTCTGCAACATCCTTTCGTTCCAGCTCATAGGTCTTGAGCAAATCCCTGTGTGCGAGGCCTCCTTCCACGGCATGGATCTTCCAAGCGAGGTTCTGGGCATCTAAAAAGGCAGTATTCATTCCCTGGCCAGCTTTGGGCTATGGAAACAGTAAGCCTCCAGCTCGTCCAAATGACAAGATCCGTGTACTTACGCTATGAGTATGGCAGGCATCTCCGCCAAGGAAGACTCGATGATCAATAGTGTAGCGTTCCGATATGCCCTGGCCAATCGGGTAGACCGAATACCATTCAACGCGTTCCCATTCAATCGAATACGGCTGCAGTATCTTCTTCGCCGACGCCTGTACTTCTGCTTCGGTGGCTGTTTTCCGTGGATTCCAACCTGGGTCTGTCGATGAAGCTATTTGTATATACAAACGGACCATGTTGTTTTCCCGAGGGATGACCATAATGGAGCCATGGGCAGAGTGGATCGTACATTTCATCTTGGGAGTGTCAGCATATGGCCCCGTTGGAGCAATTAGAGATTGGCAGTGACCTTAATATCGGGGAAATCTGTCTTCACTACACCGTCCATGACGCCCCACACATGAGCGATTGGATCTTTGTGCTTGATCCCTATCTTCAACTGGTCTCGGACGAATGACCTGGCCCCTTCTCCGCTGAACAGATACTTCGCTCGTATGGTCTCTTTTGCGGTACCGTCCACGTGCTCGAGTTCTACCTCGACGGGATATTCGGGGTTCTCCTGCTCGTCGGATTTGAACCCTCTTATTGTCCATGGGCGCTGAATCTGCACGTCTCGCTGCTGTAGGTCGGATATGAAGACCCGCTCAATCAGACCCTGGTGCAGAAGTGTGGTAAATGGATATCTCGCATCGATGAAACTGGGGCAGCTTGCCCAGGTGCCGGTTCTCACAATACCTTCTCCAGACCTTGGAGGGTCCCAAAACGCTACCTCAAAGACCCGTGCAGGTTTATGTGCCATGATCGCAGATTTCAGTCCCATATTTCGCAGCAAATCCAGGGATCGAGGCTGAATCCCGTCGGCTCGACCGGTTGGCGTAGGCTCTGCTCTATTGTCGATGTGCTTGATTCTATAGCCCCATCGTGACAGACAGGTTGAGAGCATGAGCCCGGCGGGCCCAGCGCCAACTATCACTTTGAATTATGTTAGCGATATCATCCGAGTTAGCGGATTCGATCACCATATATATACCTATGTCATAGTAAGGTGGGGATGACTGCCGCGCTGGTTGTGTTTCCATGACCGGGAGGAGAGTGTGGGAGTAGTAAATTACAAAGAATTTACTAATAAGGAAGACGCCACAATGTCAGTAGTGATGGAGAAAGCAGGCCTGGATTTAACTTGTCTGTGCGTGAAATACAACAATGAGATGCTGCAGGTAAATAGTGACCACAAGAAGGGGAGTGTTGGTAATTTATAGATATCCTGTATCGAGAAGGGATTTCTAGCCACGGCTGAGCCCACATCAGGGGGTCAAGTCACGGGTGGGTTCCGAGGAGCCTCTCGAAATATTAGGACAGAAGACGGCATGAGCATCGGGAGTCTTTGGCAATGTCAGGGCCACAATGGCGGGGGGAAGATATGTTACGGGTGGTCAACTTCCAAACCAAACAGACTAAGGATGAAGAAGCTGGGCCGAGGAGTGTGCCAGTCGGCTGGTATTGCGGCAACGTCAGAGCCCTGGGGGCGGGGGAGCAATGGCCACAGGTCAAGCAAAGAACCGTAGCTCCCAGATCTATCATTCTAACACGACCGCAGACTGGAGCCCGCTATGCTTAGTCTGGCCCAGTCTTGACCCCGGGATATAGACACGGTAATGAGAAAGTGGGGCCGGCGCCGCGGGGTCTCGGCTCAGATTCTCGGGAATGACAGTTCTGCCGCTCATTGGAGCCAGGCAACTACAAGCTACGAGACAATGCTATCTCCTAGGGGATGTCATCGAAAGTAAGGCTGCTATTCACGGCAATGTTCTGTGCTGAATTTGACAGGATTCTTCTCCTGTCCTCCACTACCTAGGCCCGCCTTGGGTTGCTCCACACTGGCCAGTCGAATATGAGTGCTATTGCCTTGAAACAACGATGCCACTGCTTCGAACCAGTGTATATGTCCAACGAGATCTTATAAATCATATGTCCTGTGCCAGGTGCATCGCCCAGCAGCTGCGAGAGGCAGACCAATGTGGTTTTCTGCATCTGTTCCCGAGAGGACGTGCTCGGTTTGTTGGCCTTGTCATTGATCGAAATGCCAATGTCACAAGATCGGATATCGCTCCATGCTGCCTGAAGTGAAAGCGACACTACTCGGGAAGGTCCATAGTGACAAAACATGCTTAGATTCAGCAAATATTGCTTTTAGCAAGTTTCACGATGATGCGAGGAAGTTTAAGCTGCCAATCTCTTTTTCTGGCAAATGGTGAAAAAGCTTAGACGCGTGACTATACAGGCATTGAACCGTGCTTTCTCATTCTTCCCAAGGTGTTCATAGACCCGGTATGATAATGATGTCGCATAGTTGAACTGTTAGTAATTCATGGCTGCCTTATATATCTTGGGCGGACAAGATGATTCATCCTGGCGGTTCAACATGTCCAGATGCTAGGATTTTGATATCGCGAAAACGGCCAAGCAGACAATACAATCTCATGTGTACAATGAGGGCTATCAATTGGACGTGATCATTTTGATTTTCTAGAATCTAATTCAGCGACAAGAGCTACCAATTTTGTGGATGGTGAGGGGACATATCTCACAAGTCTTCGGTAACGACCGTGATGCAGTGAGTTCGAGCAAAGTCCAAGCTTCCGCAGACGGCACTCACTGCTTGTTGGTCAAAGTGCTAGGGTTTCAACAAGCTCGAAAAACTCTCCTCATAATATGTATCTGGTAAAAATTTCCATGGTACAAGAGCTGGGCATGGAACCCAGAACACCAGAAAGGGAAGGGGAGGGGAAGGAAACGCCCTTAACTTAAGCTAGGTTTCCTTGAGTACATGCTGGAGGCTCACATCTGCGGTCGGTGAGGGTAGTGATGATGGTGACGATGGTGACGATAAGCTACACCAAAAGACTCCATGGGCTTTGTTTACCTTTCCGTCCAGTCTTTCCCATCACGCGTTTTCCCGGACCTTCCACAGCTCCTTTCCCAGTCCCGTGACCATACAACACCTTTGCCTTCGACTTTTACTTTGATCATTTGTTTTATTGTGACTTTTAGGTGTTTTCATCTTCCATTATCCTCCACCTCCTTCACTCCATCCACCAACCGTTCAGCGCCTGGAAATCTCCACAAGGATAAAGTACCTGAATTCGCAAGCTCCCGACAAGCAACGCGAGGTCACACACAGCTGCAAGCTGCGTCTCAAAGCTGGCATGGGATCCTGAAAGCTTTCATGTTGTGCAAGGTTGGACTGAACGACCAACGGTATCTCTACAGTTCGATCCGAGTTACGTATACTATTGACTTCCAACCGAAATCCCAGTAGCAGACAACATAACAGAGCTGCTGTAGGATATATGCTGTACAGGGCATGGGCCGATCATCGAGTCCCATTCGCGGAAATTTCATTCCGGTCTCTGCCTCACTTGGTTCTCGCTCACCTCGTCGTCAGAAAGATTTGGGGTTGCATATTCACTTGAGTTTGACAGATTCTCAAATGGATCGACTTACTTCCGCGTATGTTTCCACGCTCCGCGCCAGGCCACCTGCTAACGTGGCATAGTATTCCAGGTCAGGGTACTCCTGACAGAAGTAAGCAGTATCATTCTGACGGACCTTGGAACATGGATCCGTCAAAGTCGCGAGACCTCCGCAAGGGCAATACAAACGGAGCGAGTCGCCATCACATGCAAGCCCGCCCAGGCGATCGAGGAACACCCAAGCCAGATGATGATCGAAAAGCCATATCAGAGATGACTATTGCTTACTCAAATGTAGAACACTCTACACCTCGTCACCACATTCTTCGTTCGCGCTCCCGGTCGCCATCCAAGCGCTCACAGTCGCCAAGCAAGACGCCACATTCCGTTCTACACTCCTCAACTGGGCAGTCCTCTGTCATTGCTCGACGTAATATCTTACCGCCGACACCTGTCGACACCGAGAAGGCCCGCGAGTATCGATCAAACTCTGGTCGGAAACCTCGGGACTTTCCTACGTCATTCACTCCATCTCCTCAGCATTCTCCTGTGCGCCCTGTCTTCGGTGCTACTGACGACTCGTCATCGTTGTATTCTCAGGATGGCATGGACGAAAGCCAAATGCCTCCTGTCAGCCCCCTGAGAATCAGCAAGGGACAGGAGTCGATCACAAATACCAGTGCACCCCGATCCTATAACGACTGGGCAAGACCAGCCGCGTCGCCGGAACGTCTACTGCCTAGGGATATTATGCAGACTCAGCCTGAGAACAATCACGGAATTCCCAGAGTCAACACTATGGGCGACCTACGCCATGACGGTGACAAGCTTGAGAGAACTTGGTCTCCACTTTCGGATTACTTGACGAGCAAAGATATGCCCGTCAGAAAGGAGTTGGTTGGAGCCCGCGGTTGGCTCGAGCGTACTACAGACTCGTCGAACAAGAAGCCATCTTTGGACAAGAAGGTGCCTCAACCAAAGAAAGCCGGTCTTCTTGACAGCTTGAAGAAGATTGCCAAAGACATGAAGGTGACTCGCAAACTTCGCGATTCCGAGAAGGAGTACCGCGCTGCACGACTCACCGTATCCCTCGACCCCCGCGAGCAAAGTCTCCTTTACTGTGAGCTCGAGTTCATTCTGACAACTGCTCTTGAAGGATATATCTCGAGTCAATTCAATGCTGGACGCCTCGATGCAGATAAATACAAGAAAATTGTAGATGGCTGGCAACAGAAAGGTCGTCCGAAGGTGGTTGGATTTCGCTATGATCTCGAGACACAACTTGAGTTGGTCCACCTCCACAGCACCGACTTCAGATTCTATGGTCGTCGCGCTGGTCTGACGGTAGCAGTCAACGGGCTGCTTGAGATGATGAAGGTTAACTCGCGCGCTATGAGAATTCGCACTTTTTGCCAACCGGACACCGTTGTCGCCAAGCAACTCCTCGACTCTCAGTCTCTCTTCAACATGCTCGGTTGCTCAGAGCCGCAGCAGATCCGCCTTGCTGAAGTCATTCAATTCTTCAAGATTATACTGGAGCGCGAGCAACACTTTCGCCACCCACATGAAGCACATGCTGCATCTCCCGCTCGCCGCGATACTGGCCACTGGGACGAGAGTGAGGAGGTGATTGACGGCCAGGGTGCCAAATCTCATTCTGAGAAATACCAATCTTCTGGAGGTGACCAGCACCAGGAATACGGAGCTTGAGCTACAGTCCTGCTCTACGACGAATAAGCTTTGAATATGCGATATCAGGCTACCATGTCCTCCACCGCGGCGCCATTATACATGGTATTCCCATTGCTTGAGGTCCCCGAGTTTGCCTACATTTGATCTCAGCTAAGTTGAGGTTAAATGTTCAGTCGTTGTCAGAGACCACTTTGCGTATGGCGTGGAGATCAAATGGTGTGGATATTATGTAAATATAAACTGGAACGGAACGGTACACATCTGGTGGAAGACTGGTCTCAGATGGGCCATGCCTAGAAAGGTGAAAGGATTACTCGTCCAAACTACACACATGCTCAGAGCACTCTGGTGGACGAATTCTCTGCTCTAGTCATCGGAGCGTCGTTTGTAGTCGATGTCATAAATAGTCTCGCCATTTCAAATACAGGAATGTCCATCCCTTTGCGGCTCAATTGCTCGATCTTGTTTACATTGCCATCGTCATTGCCCTTGACAGTTAATCGCTCCATTGTGCGGAGAGTTATGCAAGGAGAATTGGTCTTGCATTAAGAGAGAGCTACACTAGTTGAACTACTCGATATTCCTCATCATCATGGTTTACCCAGAGATACCCACCAAGGCAGATACATGACATGAAAATCCAAAATCCTTATAGGCGAGGATAGCGTAGCGTGATCGCTGCCATACAAAACATTCGTAATCAGTACAGAAACACATCCAGTGGTGCACCAGAATATCATGAGAAACCTAGTACTTGTCGTCACTTCATCGGTGTCTCGTCTTGCGGTCATACACATAGTCGTAATCGTCATTATCGTAATAGTCTGCGTTTGCTCCGCGGATCGGGCCATGGGACCTACGTCCGCCCTCTTCTCGCTTCTCTTCGTCCTTCTTCTTGGCTGATTCAAGTCGCTTTTCTAGTGCATTCGCGCCGAGGCCGCCGACCTGATCTATTAGTCAGAGTATGTTACAGGTCATGGTCGTGTTTTAAACTCACTGCTGCACCGATGATGGTAGACACCAGCGTTGATTTGTCATGTTCACCGGAATGGCTTTTGCCTCGAGCACGGAGTGTTGCCTCGCTGGCTTCCCTTGCGGCGATACCACCGACGATGGCCCCAAGCACACCGACACCCAAGCCCGAGTTGGATTGGGAGAAGGTGTCCTTGAGGACATGGCGAGCTTTTGCAAGGGGGCTGCGGTCGCGTTCATCTTCTGAGCCCGATGAGCCCGGAGAATGGGAGCGTCGACCACGGGGAACTATAGCGCCGCTTGACATGGGAGGCATGGAACGAGGACGGTGGCGGGACTGGGGAACCTGGAGGGTGTTTCCCCCGTCAGGCGGATAGAATGGAGATTGGGGTTCGTACTGCAGTCTAGCTTGTGACTGGGATGCTCCCCCGGCATAATGATAGTCAGGGGATCGATCTCTGAATTGTGGAGGAGGAGAATGCCGGCGGCCACGGCGTTCATAATCCCCATCGTCATCATAATAACGGGACATGTTGACTAAGAGTCCGATTGTTTCCCGCTGAATTCAGCGTCACGATGAGCGTGGCACTGGTAGCCTTGCACTTCAGCCCCTAGCCTGAAGCACCCACGATAAACTCGGATGATATCAGGCTATATACTGTGAGGAAAAGGATGGTCTTCACACTTATGTCTATCCTTTAAGCGTTCTTAGACGGGGCCTTGACCAGAATGTGGAGTGAATTCCGTGCAAGACGGTGGATGAAGGCAAGGGTGGTGTATAAAATACAACGTCCGCTTACGGGGCTGGCAATCAGGCTGAGGCGGGAGGCCAATCTCTTGAGATAAGCCACTCGGTCGGTGTAGACGTGAGTCGCAGCGCTTGATTTCGACTGGTCGTCGAGAGTGTCCGGGTGAGTGCGGTGGACGTGGGATGGGGGACGATGAGGCTCAATGAGGGGGGGAGTTGGACGAAGTCTGGGGCTGAGAGAGCAAGAGCATGTGTTGGATTGGAAAACCTGATCAATGGTGGCATCCCTGCAAGGAAGGCCGACCCTGCCTTTGAGCTGAAGAGGACTCCAGAGAGTCCAGGTGCCTGCAGTCTTACGGCATTGCTCACCCTCGTCCTCTCATAGGCTGGCGAGTGTGGAAGGGCTCGGGGGCGGTGTCAGCCGACCGACTGCAAGTCATTTGGCAGCCTGGAGGTGGCCCCTGGAGGTGGCCCCTCCTCCATCCAAGTCCATCGTGATGGAGATCTATAGCTACTGCTGGGCATGGCCAAGACTGAACCAGACTAGACTCAACTAGACTAGACTAGGCCGGTTAGTTTCTACGTGGTAGGTATATTCTGTCTGTCTCTGTCAACCTCATTGATGTCGAGCACTATCTCAGTATTGGGTGAGGTGTGATGGGATAGCAGCAATCAACTGGTTAGCAACCTAGGAGGCAAGCCCTTGCAGCCAGGTCTCAGCCAGGTAGGTCTGCATCAAGTACAGCAGACCTGGGCACAAGGCGTCGGCATCCACCGAGCTCTCATATTATTTCTTCTCTGCTCTAGGCAGTTTGCTTTGTTTAGGTGAGTCTCGCCAGAGAGAAGAACGACGAGCAGAGGGAGGCTGGGAGTCGATACCACCGCGTCCGTAAAGGACATGTAACGCGGGGTAAAGAGTTGCCGGTCGGAATGATGTCACAAGGCCGCAGGCGGGGCAGTCTGACTGCTTCTCCCATCAACCTGGAACGAGTGGGACACTCTTTCAATGGGACTCAGTTCGGCTGGTTCATTGACTATAATCCCAAGAAGGCCGCTTTGTCGCCGGCCGGGTCCCGATGTCCGACCAAAATTTCTCTGGCTTGATGCGACACAGGGAGCTGGCCTCATATTCTACCAGTTTCCTACCGCAGTGATACCTCCCCGGCGAGCAGAGAGTTGGCTGCCGGTGTCTACCTACTTAGAATTACCATATCAGCCATTCACTGAGACTTTCCAGAATTAGGGAAAGAAAGCTCATATTCTGTGCAAGTTGATACAAGATCTTTGCCGTCTGCCGCCCTTAGGTCTCCCTGTACATACTGTCGGACGGCAATGCTTCGCTTGCCCAGGAACTTGCCCTGGAATATAGTCTAGACCACTCACATTACTATCATATCTGGATGTTTTCGTAGAGCAAAACACGGATGAACTTCAAGTTAGCGAAAACCCTCGGTTCGATATACCTAGTCTGAAATATGTTAATGGTGATGAATCGCTTATTCCACAGTGCTGGTTCGTGCAAATTTTCTAGCGAAAATTATACCGCCGTAGTCTCAGCTCTAAGGACACTTGGTGTCACACTAGGTATTCTACGTGCGTTCGCCATGGTATTCGGGCAGAATTGTCCATTGCATATCACCTCAACCTAACCAAGGGCCAGCTACGGAGTCGTGGTAGATCGTGCAGGTGTTCGTCGCCTCTTGGCAGAAGACGCTCGTTCGCTGCTGCAACGGGGATGCCGGCCCGGGCCTTTGCGCAAACATCATATCCCCGGCTTAAGTTCGGTAGCCACTCCGCTCTAGCTCCGCTTCCCATACCTCAAAATAGGTTCCATTCACATTCAGTTTCCGTGGCCTGACCAGATCCGACTGCTTTCACCTGCGAGGCCCCTAGCTGACGGCAGCGGCATAAAGCTTCGCTTCCCCGGTGTAAGTGGATCCCACGATGGCCTCACCGCTCGCATACAATTTCGACATTCCCGACTCTTTCACTGCCTCTTATTCATCCTTCCTAGGCCTCAAATTCTACTTCTATAGAAGATGGTGGGCAAAGTTGGTTGAACAAGAGAAGTATTGATGCTAGGAGCGCAGAGCTGGCGTACTTGTTGACCTGATGCACGATCTCCCATTGATAACCATCAAACATCCATGGAACTGCTGTACGAAACATCAGTCCGTCTAATTTTCACTCCACCAGGTCGTGTACCGCTGTCTTTCCAGAGATATTACCGCACGCGCATGGTATGTTGGATCAAGTGGCGCCTTTGAATCCTCCTCGACCTTAACTATAACAATCAAGCTATTGAGCACAACCCTGTTGCATTCAACACAGTTTTACTTTCCCGGCAGACGAAATATCGCACTATCTCTCTATATATACTAATCTATCGAGCGTTGTATACAAGTTAAACTGCCCGCTTCCTAAACAACTATTGTATACCGGTTGCGAAATCGGTTTCTAAGTTGATTATTACCACTCGCTATAATTCAATGTCTGCGTCGGTCCAGCTCTCTGCTGCCGGGGAGGTACATGGAGATCTTCATCAACACTGTGATCTTCCTAAGGGGCCCGATGAGAAGAATGCCGAGGCGTTATCAGCGCCTTCTATCATACCACCCGTTGATCACGATTCTAGCCTCAGCACGCCTTCACCGAACCATCTTGAACGATGGAACCAACCCCGGAGAAACATGTACCGTTTCTTCACAACACTACTCAGCTTTATTATCCTAGGCGCAAATGATGGAGCTATTGGAGTGAGTTCAGCTGATCGGTCGGTTGGGTGGATGTTACTAATGCTACGCAGGCTTTGATCCCATATGTAAGTTAATATTTTGAGCACACATTTGGATGTCACGAAATCACCTTACCAATGGTGTCAGATTGAAGAGTATTACCATATTACATACACTATGGTAGCATTGATATTCCTCGCACCTTTCGTCGGCTACCTCTTGGCCGCATTACTTAACAACTTGATTCATCATCACCTCGGCCAACTTGGGGTAGCTTTCCTGGGACCCCTGTGTCGCATGATTGGATACATTCCCATGGCTTTGCATCCGCCATACCCAGCCCTTCCCGTCTTCGCCCTATTTCCTGGTTTCGGAAACGGGATTGAGGATAGTGCATGGAACGCGTGGGTGGGAAACATGGAGAACGCAAACGAACTTCTTGGGTTTCTTCATGGCGCGTACGGACTTGGAGCGACAATCGGTCCTCTGATCGCCACGGCCATGGTGACCAAAGCTAACCCGCCACTTCCATGGTATTCGTTCTATTATTTCATGATTGGTATGGCCGCTCTCAACGGTGCCCTTATTGTTACCGCTTTCTGGGGTGCCAGCGGCGCTGTACACCGGGCTACCCATGCTTCCACCACAGGTGAAAAGAGAACGACAACAAGGCATGTCTTAAGAGACCCTATCACTTGGATGGTCGCGTTGTTTCTCCTGGTGAGACTGATTCCCTTCAAAATTCGCAATATTGGTCTACTGACCATATATGTACCACAGGGTTACGTCGGTGCTGAGGTTAGTTTGGGTGGCTGGATCGTGACATTCCAGCTGGACGGTAAGCAACGCCGTCTAGGGCTTCTGGATACTTTGCACTGACAATTGAACTTCAGTTCGACATGCAGAACCCTTCCTTGCTGGACTGACAGTTACTTTCTTCTGGGTTGGTCTCACCGTGGGGAGGATTATTTTAGGATTCATTACCGGGAGAGTCGGGGAGAAGCTGGCCATCACCATTTACCTAGGCATTTCTCTGGCATTGCAACTCATGTACTGGCTCATTCCCAGCTACGTTGCCTCTGCCATCTGCGTTACGTTCCTCGGTTTTTTCCTCGGGCCACTTTTCCCGGCTGCGATTGTGGCAGCGACAAAGCTGTTGCCAGCGGACTATCACGTATCCGCTATCGGCTTCGCTGCTGCGTTTGGAGGAGGCGGAGCGGCTGTTTTCCCTTTTGCCGTTGGAGCAATAGCCCAGAGCAAAGGCGTCGAGGTACTGCAGCCCATTATTGTTGCCATTTTCATATTCATCTTAATGGTGTGGCTTGTTCTCCCCGGCGGACTCCGCCCAGGTGGCTTGGAGCGAGCAAGAGAGAATAAGGAGAAGCCCGGACATCAGGTACTCCAGGTGTATAGGTGGCTAAAGGCAAAATTCACGTGAAGCCATCGCCAGCGTACAATATACTTTTCAGTGTGTAAATAGTGTGTCCGAGCAAGTTGACTAATGGCCAAAGGTAGCTAATAAGCGGATTTGTGAGCCAATAATTCATTCTTGTGCCTGCGAGAGAAGTTCACTGGCAAGCCTTTGGACGTAAAACTGTTTAGCCTCTGCCGGGACGTCGTTGAAGGCAGAAACTATCTTAGTTACAGCTTGGCGCCCTTTCTCATAAGCTAGTAGATCACGGTTGCCGTACACATCGCGTCCGGCCGAGTATCCGTTTTCGAGGTTGCGAAAGAAGACATTTACCGCTATACTGGAGTCACTTATAGGTGTGGCCGTGTGTAACCATAGGGGTGGGAGGAAGAGCACATCTCCAGGACCAAGCGTGGCTTCATGGGGATGCGTTTTTGCTAGTGAGTTCGTTTTTAGGTGTTCAAAAACATCAATGCTCGAGCTTGAGGCTCCTGGGGCGAATGATAGGTGGTGTACGTCAGTTGGCGGGAATAGAACCAGGCGCTTTGTGCCATCAATCTGACAATAGATGTTTGCCATGACCTGGGTGAATCAGAAGAGCCTCATAATGTATAGCTTTTGGAACTATAAACACTTACGTCGTAGTGTAGCCACATGTTCACTGGGCCAGAAATTCTGAGGACCGAGCTAAAGCTGTTTTCAGCAACAAATGCCAGCTCAGGTGGCAGTACAAAATCAGCAGCGAGCGCTGGGAAGTCTCTGTTCAGATCGGCTGGCTGACTCGCCGGCTCATCAGTGGCTAGAGCTCGCAAATACAGTCTGGCCCCTGACTTGACCTCCTCGACAAATGCTCCGAAGCTCTTCGTCACATAACGAAAGTTTTTGGCGTTGAAGTCCATACTTCGGTTTTCTGATTCGTGTACCACGATCTAGGTCGTCTGTTAGCGAAAGATATATGCTACCGAAAAAGGAGGGAAGAAAAAGGGGGGAGGGGGGAGAAAAAGCCGGGTACAACCTACCTTCCTATCCCGTCCAATCTTGTCGGCGAGGTAGTCTAAGCTCCAGTTATGTTTGATTGCCCCTAAGTCAATTCCTTCTAGAATGACAGGTTTACTGGCTTGAAGCATCTTCCCGAAGGCTTCCGGGCTTTCAATTTTTATGCGCTGGATGGCAAGGACCGTAGTTTGTTCCTCCGGCATCGTATGCTTGCTGCTAAGTTCTGCGCCTTCGTCTTTGTCCACTAGCTCAACTGTTCGTGCAAGCTCCCAACCAACACCTCCTGCCGGAACACTGAAGCATTTTCGACCATCAAGAGCTCTTAGATCAAGAGTGAATGCGTAAGTTCCACTTGTCCAGTAGGTCCCCATTGAAAAGCAAGTGGCGCCGCCACCTATCAGAACTACTTGATCGGCCGCTGTGCTAATAACAGATGAGCCTATGATGAGGGGTCGAGGTGGCCCCGAGGGCTCGAATATGCGCGGGTCGACCAAACGAGATCGGATCTCAAGACTTGAGCCATTTAATGAGCATATAAGGATGTCGTGGCTCTGTGGCACGATTCCGTGTCGGAGAACACCCCCGAGAACCAGTAGGTAGCCACGGTATGTTGTCCAAGTCGCACCAAACCTTGAGAGCAACAGTCTCGCCGCTTGGGTGTCTCCTAGAGTGTCTGTCGACGCACTGCATGTGCTGAAGATTATCTTCGGTTGCTGTTCTTTGCATCAGTCTTATACGGACAACAACAGTGGTGAGATGATGGATACATACCTTTTCATTAGCGACGTCAACTTGCCATGCCAGAATTTGGTCGGAGATGGTTCCATCCCGAAGCATTCCACCGGCAAGAATACCGGTGAAAATCCCAGCACTTCCCTGATGCCTTCCGAGGCATGACAATACAGCACCGAAGGCCGGCAGCGGACGTACTGGCCCACTTACGTGGCACTCTATCCACCCCAGTCCAGGATGATACAACATACACTTGTCGGAAACATCACATGCCCCCGACTTCCCGCCATAAAGAAGGGCTAACGATGACCCGTCTAGCCGTGTCGCGGAGTGGCGATAGAGAGGCACTGGCAAGTCTTCTACGCGGAACCAACGGTGGATGTCTTGCTTGAATAACCAGCTATCCATCATTGGCGACATGGGAGAGGAACGACCTCCAGCCAACAAAATTCCGCTAGAGCCAAGATCAGTAATGGTATGAGACATGCGACCTGCTGGTCCGCCTGGCTCAAGAGCCAGATCGATATTGCAGCCATTTTGAGAGTACACATCGCAAGATCGAAGGCGACTGTGCACACCATGCCCCATTACGTTTGCAATGAATTCCTGTCCCGTAACATTTTTTAAGATCATGGATGCGCCAAAGCGGCGGAGACCTCGCTGAGTCGAATACTCTTTATAAGACATAACAACCTCCGTTGCAGGAATGTCCGGCAATCTCTCTCTTGATCTTCGCGACACCACATTGCCTTCGGCGAGAGTGCTGGCATGAAGGATGAGATAGTGGCTGGCGAACAGGGCCAATTCGTCCCACTCATCAAAAGGCTCGACATCGTCTAGTTTCTGTCTCTCCGAGGGGCTGAAGAAGTCATTATTTGCCCACGCTTGCCACAATGAGAGCGCCGTGACATCAGCCCAGCCTCTGCTGGAGAAGCGTTCTTCCTGCTGCTCGATCGTCTGGTACTGAAGTATCGATCGAAGGGGGCTGTTTAGTTTTCCAAAGTGTTCATTCATGGTCTTGGCAAATGGGTGCTCAGGACCATCCGGTAAGATTTGCTCCAACAAACAAAACTCCGCTACCACGAATGTCAGTAACAAGACAGTATAAGATTGAGATTATAGATGTGGCGAATCGTTGAGAGATACAAGGGAAATGGTGATGCAAGAAGTAGACTGCCGGAGACATACCCTGCCCAATGCTACTGGCCCATTTTATCAGACCGTCTGCAGCCTCAGTTTCCATGTACGTGATGGAAACCTCAGCCACAAATAACAGACGAGCGCGAGATATCTCGGCGATCAAGGACAACGCTTGGTGTAGAGTATCTGTGTCACGTAGGTCGCAGCCTACTTGAAAATAGCGATCACTCCGGAGCAGGATTGGTCCGTCCTCGGGAGTTTGAACATCTGCCAGGGGAGCCGTAAGTTCCGCGGTATTGAGCACGACTTGGCGCTTCTTCAACATCAGGTCTGGAAAGTCAACGTCCACAAAGACGGCTTCTTTGCACTCTTCGGGATAGCGAGTGAGACACTGCCATGGCAGAACATCGCTATACAGAGCTTTTAGTGGGATTCCGCGGAGTATTTAGCGGTGCTCGATGGAAGAACGCAGCGCTTACCTGCCACAACCAAGGTTTATGACCATCTTCTTGGCCGTCGTGGGCTCTTGCAGAAACCTGCGGACAAGAGTATCGATTACATGGAGTCTGAGATGATAGCCCCTATTGATTAAAGGAGCCCTGCGCTGGAACTTTCTCACAAAGAAGCGGAAGAAGTGTGGCTCGTTGGGGTAATAGAATCGTTCCACGCTACGTTTCGAAACGATACTGCTACTGTTTGTCTGGATCAATACCGGTCAGTGATCGTCTTGGCTGCACAAGAGATTTTGAGTCTGCGAAGTTCTTGGCAAACCTACAGCCATGACAAGGTCATCTTTGGACCTCCTTTCCGACTTTGCGGCACGCGGGCCTATAGGTCGGGGAGTCGTGACCGCAGCCATCCCGCCTTTTCTGGAAAAGGGGAGCTAGAAGAGAGCATGGAGATTTAGGGTGCCGCTATACGACGATCAAGAGAGATGCCGTGGCGACGGGATGTGGCTGACTTGACGCGGGCGATTACCTTGTGATACAACATCTAAAGGGTTGGAGGTATCATTGGTAGACTCTACAAGGAAATTGAAGTACCCGGACTCTTCTAGGGTGCACATCACATCCTGTCCAAGGTGAAGCGAAAGCTATGCGGCTGGTTGTGGGCTGCGAATATTCTGCTCTATGCTCGGTACGTGCATTTGGAGCGTCGAGATGCATCATGTATGGATATGGTGGTGGTATGAGATCAACGAGGTCCATCTCCAGCTTGCAGACTTCCTAATCTACCTACGGATCCTGATTCGAACAGAGCCCCTAGAAGTGCCCTGCAATCTCAAGGCGCTCTTCTCTGGTCACCACCTACTCATCGATGCCTGAATGCCTCCCTATGATGACTTCCTGAGCACTTTAGATGAGAGATCGGTTAGAGCCATATTACTATGACGGATAGTACTACGCTGGCTAATTCAATCTTAGTCCGGTGCGACGGAATGCGTGGTGGACGGATGCGGCCGGTACACTGCTACTGGGGCTACCTAGGCACCTACCTTTAGGTACCTACCTAGGTACCTAGAGGTATGTAAGTCCCGCCGTCCCGTCTCCACACAAGCTGTTTGCGTCTCCATCGCCTGTCCTTCCATGGTTACGTATTACTCTTCCGCCAGGCTGATAAGTCTTCGTCTAGTAAGGGTATCTAGGTATCGTTACCTCTGCAACAGGAGATGACTACCTCTATAGAAGTTGATAGACCTATGCTATAGTAATGAACAAAATCTTCGACTCTTGATAAGTATCACGACTCTCAGCATCGGGTACCTTTACCCTTCAAGAATTAAAGGGGAGGAGCAAGCCTACCTAGGTACCTAGGTAGGTAGGTATGTACCTGGGTAGCCTGGGAGAGCACTGAAGGAGCTCCAGTTCCATCGCTGGCGGCGGGGACACTTCCCCTCCAGATCCCTCGGAGGGCCCCCACCTACGCAATACTTCCCTACCTTAGGTACTTAGCCACCTACCTAGGGTCCCTTACCCAAGCCAGTCACCCCCGTCCCGACCTCCCTCATATCATGCATACTTACCCTGCCATCTGCTACCGTCGGCCTCTCAACTTGCTATACATCACACACCACCTCCACCAACGTCTTCGAAGCGCTGCGATCACGACGATCACCACCGAAAGGGCGGGCCTACGATATCGCGCCCGCCTCGCCCGCGCATCTCTCGCTCAGCTGCACTGCACTGTACTGTACCGCCCAGGAGACAGTCAAGCTGTCCTGCCTTTGCCGAGCCAAACGCAACGAACGAGCGAACGAACGACTGCCTGCCACCAGCTCAGCTGCCTTGTGATCAATTCTCCATCCACCTTCCTGCTCTGCAACCACCCTGCCACGTTGCAGACCAGCTTCGACAGTCGAGTGGACATTTCAGTAGCCGAGTGCACGCAAAAGATATAGGCCACATCCACTTCCTCCTCCGACATCGTCAGAAATGGCGAGCGCCGCTCTCAACTTCATCACCTTCAACCAGGATCACAGCTGTCTTGCTGTTGGTGAGTCTGCCCGTGTTCTCGTCACGCACCAGGAGCTGATGCTTGGGCCTCTCAAGGTACCTCCAAGGGATTCCGCATCTATCATACCGACCCTTTCTCTAAGATATTCAGCAGCGATGATGGCAACGTCTCCATCATCGAGATGCTCTTCTCCACCTCGCTTGTCGCTCTCATCCTCTCCCCGAGACATCTCATCATTCAGAACACCAAGGTATGGGTCGCCTCCATGACATTTCGTCCTCTTCTCAGGCTCCTCTAACCCTTCTCGCAGAGGGCGTCCGTCATTTGCGAGCTTACCTTTCCTTCTGCTGTGCTCGCCGTCCGTCTGAATAGGAAAAGGTTAGCTGTCATACTCGAAGAGGAGATCTATTTGTACGACATCGCCAACATGAGTCTCCTCTACACCATCACCACCTCTCCGAATCCAAGCGCCATCTGCGCTCTGTCGCCCTCTTCTGAGAATTGCTATATTGCATACCCTCTACCCAAGCCGCGGGAAGACACCGGAGATCGGCGGCCTGCTCATGCACCACCTTTGTCGACCTATGTTCCTCCCACCTCCGGTGAGGTTCTCATCTTCGATACCCTCACCCTCAAGGCAGTCAATGTCGTTGAGGCTCACAAGTCTCCCTTGTCTTGTATCGCCCTGAATAGCGAAGGCACGTTGCTTGCCACTGCGTCGGAAACCGGGACCATCATCCGCGTCTTCAGCGTACCTCGTGGGCAGAAACTCTACCAATTTCGACGGGGCACTTACCCCTCAACCATCTACAGCATGTCTTTCAACCTGAGCTCGACATTATTATGTGTCTCCTCAACGTCCGACACCGTGCACATATTCCGACTAGGGGGTCCAGGCCCTTCGGGAAGCGCCAACGCCGCCATGAATCCAGCTGCGACAGAGCCCCCTTCTTCGCCCCGCCTGGATCGCTGGACTCGCTCGCGCAGCTATGACAGTGGTAACGACTCGCCTGGTAGCGCAACAGGATCCCCGCGAAGTGAAGCCGCTGACTTGGCTGGGCCGCAAGGAAACAACGGTAGCAGCAGCAACAGCAGTGGAGGAGCCCACCGTAGGCAGAGCGGCTCCTTTAGCAGCATGTTGAGGCGATCATCACAGATGATGGGCAGGAGTGTAGCAGGAGTTGTCGGGTCATATCTCCCGCAGACCGTTACAGAGATGTGGGAGCCCCTGCGTGACTTTGCGTACATCAAAATCCCGAAAGCAAACTCCGGTCTGCCTCCTCGTAGTGGCTCCTCGGCAGGCGCAGCTGCCGGTCCAGCCTACCTAGGTGGCCCAGTGCGGAGTGTGGTGGCCATGAGCAGCAGCAGTCCTCAGGTCATGGTAGTCACCAGCGACGGCGGCTTCTACGTCTTCAATATCGACATGGAGCAGGGGGGCGAGGGCTACTTAGTGAAGCAATTTTCGTGCGTATAGTTCTAGTCTATCCTTGCCCTGTCGAATTGAACTGACTGGAGCTTGACTGATTAGTGTCCTTGACGGCGACGACAAGCTTGAAGCTTCTGCGTATGGCTCGTGACGGAGTCCAAGGCGGGGATTGATTGTGTGTTTTGTGGCAGTGAAGGTTCTCGAATGACTCAAACAACAGCATCGTCGGTTAGCGCCGTAATCTCATAGGGCAACACCACTGACGATGGCTGTTCAGCAAATTGGACCGCAACAGATGGCTGCTGCTCAAGACATGTTCCCTTTCAAGGTTCAGACTCGGTGGCCTAACCACTCGCTCCACTTCATGTTCGACGAATGGTTCTGCATAAGCGTTTGGCGTTATTTTTACATATTCTAAGCCTTTGGGGGCGGCGAGATTCATCGATGGCGTTTCGGCGGGCATGGACTGGGCTGCGGCACTATGATGATTTGTAGGGAGACTGGATGGACTGCGATATACTCTTTTTGCGATGCCTCGGGAGTAAGCAAGTAGTTATTGTGTCTTCCTCGAGGTTCATAATATGCATCATTGTAGTATAGTATTGCTCTCTTTTCTGACGCTCGTCCTCTGATTTTGACGCTTGTTGCGATCGGCCTCAATTTGCATTTGTCATATACATGCTCTTCACACTGCAACCGTATCGGTCTCCTGAAAATGCGAACGCCATCCAGAACGAAGCCAACTTGTCGACGCTTTGGATGAGCGGCAATACATCTGCTCCTCCCATGTTACAAAACACTCTGTTTCCATACCGCAGGAAAAAAAGAGAAAAAAAATTCCCACCCCACGCCGTTAAATGAAGGTAAAAGGGATATCAAAAAGAAGAAAAACCAAGCTCAGTTGCCGCCTTTGATATCCTGTCGTAAATCCTGCAAAAGAAGTGATCGTTCCGTCGTGAGGCTTATCAAATACATCGTTGCAAAACAAGTGAAAACAATTGCCCCCAATAAAGCGCCGGACGTATTTAGAAGTCGTGTGGTTTTGTGAGGGTTGGCTCGTCCCGTCCCCAACCAAATCCCAGAAAAGGTAGCTGACAGTCACCGAAATTGTGCTACGAAGTAGCTAAACAACTTCACAGGGCCACTGACGTAGAGTTTGCTCAGGCGATCAAGCAACAAAGGCGATATGCGAGCCGTTGTCCTAGTCTTCTTGCCAGGTCGGCATAACTGATCTGGTTGTTAAGGTCCTCAATCGTTCGTCCCAATGAGCTCTCTGGAGTCAATTATTCGTTGCCCCGGATGGCCATTTCGTGTAGGCAAAGCCGCCTTTTGAGCCTCGCTCATCTCGCGTAAGGTCGATTCATCAATGCTACCTCTCTCGCAATTTCGCCCCATTCAAGCTCCCTTTTGATACCGGTACCTTTTCCCCCATTTTCAGCCGATCTCTTCATTTGGAGCATTTCATCCCATTTCAGCAGCTCATAGGCAAATCGCAAGTGTGGTTGGATAATTACGTTGAGCCGACGAGCGCGAACAAAACAATATGCCCGGGGAAACGAGAGATCCATCGTCCGCATGACCTCTGCAATACAGATGGTTGCGCTCCGAGAGACGCCAACGCGGCAGTGGACAAGTGTAGCTGTCCCGTTGCGGCGGCCGCGGTCTGTATCAGGGGTGGGTCCATGTTAGTTCAAATGCAGGATATTTTTGCCTGGCACAGGAACAGCGATTCTCAACCGGACAATGACATACCGATAAATTCGAGGCACCTCTCAAACTCCTCCGTCAGAGGATCAATACCGTTATCCTGCACACCTTGGATAATGCAGGTATTTTCCATGCCCCATTCCTCAAGCTCTCCATCACGCCACATGGCCGTTTCGCCCACACTCAGGATCTGACCAATTCCGAGGGCCCTCAACAGATCAGGGTTGTTGGCGTGGCCCAAATTGCCAAGGTACATATAGTCCAAGATACGGCTAGGAAGAGAGCCGTCCAGCCCAGGTAGCCATTTGGGCTCGTCCTTCACCATGGCTGTGATCTCCGAAAGGTTCTTATCTCTGCAAGCGGGTGACTCGGACAATAGCCGCGGCGCGAGAGCCATAAGAAGGGCCACGTCTGTTGGGTAAGCAAAAAAGTTGCGTCGCATCGTGGTGTGGAGCTGAAGCCAGGCGTCCGGGACGGGACGGCCGGTGCTGAAGCTGAAGTAGGCAATACCCAGCATCGTCGACTCCGTGTATCCGTCTGCACAATGGATCAGAATTTTGCGAGAGCGACCGGGCTGGGTAATCTTTGAATCGACATCGTCGGACATGGTGAAATCGCCGTCCTCATCTTTGCGGCTGGGGATGGTCGATGGTGTTGTCCCATGGGCCAAGTGGTAGATCCACCTGCACGTCTCCAAGATGCCATCTGCCTCAGCGTGTGACCAGGTGGGCGGCAGGATGCTTCCCGATGAAGGGAAGTCAAGATATGGCTGTTTGACAATCTCATCTGAACTCTCGGCGATGGCCTGCAAAGCAGCCGCGTTGAGGCGACCCATATCACTGCACTCAATTAGGACATCGTATCGTTCTTCCTCTTCCGTGCCATGATCGGGGGTTGGCCCTAGCCACACATTATGGGAGATCTCAGATGCCTTGGTCATGGCGTACATCTCCGTTCGCTCCTGGTGGAAGAAATCAACAACGTTGCCCGTCAGACGGCCGGCTGAATCAACGGCCACGAGCTCGTCATGCGCGTTTTCGAAGTCGGCGAAAGGGCTCACGCAGATGAATGTGTTGTAGCACGGCAATGGATGGCCTTGAGCCTCGTGTTTTTCCCGCCATCGCTTCTGCGCGGCTGCGATATCCCAGCCGAGCTTGCGGACAAGGACGTCGTCATCGCCGTACACTATGATGTCGGAGGTCATGGCGGTCTTTGCCGCCTGTATCTGGAAATTTCTCACGGAAAAGCCCTCCTTGGGATCAACCTCCAGGAACTCGGCCGTGGTGCCGGACTGCATGAACTCGTGGGGCGCGATGGCACCCTTGAGGCGGGCGACAGTCAGATCGCCATCGGCCTTGACGACCGTGATACCTCGTAAACAGCATGGCGTCTTCCGCAGGGCGCGGCGACGGGCTATGAAGAAGGCCTGCTGGATATGGTTGTTGGGGTGCAGGCCATGCAACCAAGGGAACACCTGCGAAGGGTCGGGCAGAGGTTGGCGCGAAATGTAGTCGAGGGCATCTGCCACATGGGCGGCATCGATCTTGTACAGAGCTAGCGAGCCGGAATCGAGGCGGACGTAGCCGTCGGGAGGGTGAAGGAGAGATGGCTGGGGGTTGTCATCTTCTCGGCCGGGCGACGGGGGCGGGGTGTTTGGCTCCTGCTGGGGTACGGGGCCCGGTGGGCAGACGGGTAAGTGCTTGTTTGGGAGGGGGACCGGGCATTGGGCAGCCTGGGTGTTGATGGTATCGAGGGTTATGGTGGAGGAGAGGGTGGTGATGCCCGAGGAGGAACGATGGGGTGGTATGGGCCGCGGGAGTGCAATGGTCGCCATTGCTCCTCCAGCCGGCAGCGTCCTCGAAAGAATCCAGACACGCCTGGCCTGGATCGGACCAGGGAAGACGAACCCCGATGAAGCAGTACCGTGCCAGATCAACAAGAGGGCACGCCCGAATATCCTGCCCTTTGGTGATCGCGTGGCGTGTATGCTGGAGCACGGCGCAACGCTAGTGAGCACGTTTGAAGAGACGTCGGCGAGGATGAAGCTCTAACCGCAGGCAATTAGCGAGATGAAGAAGGACGACAACTGATTGGATTCAATATGGCGAGGCCGTGCAACCAGAAGTGGGGTGAAAGCAAATAGAACAGTCGATGGCTAGAACAGCAGGCATGGAAGAGATGAAGAATGCAGGCGAGTGGTGAAGTGACAGTAGAGACGACGGGAGACAAGACACCCAAAACCTACAGAGGTATGGAAGGCTAAGGAAAGGTACCCTAGGTAGATGAGTTGACGTGGGTAGACCAAAGGACAACTTCAGGCCGGGACAAGAGGGAGAATGGCAGGAAACATGCACGCACGACCAAAAAGCTGAGGTTGGTCAGGTAAGGTGAGGATAGGACGGGGTGAGTAGATGAGGTAGATTGATGATACATACCGGGCGGCGTGCTCTTCAGGTTCGATGGGCAATGGGCAATGGGCGATGGGCGAGCAAGCTAATGGGCGTATGAGATGGTGGATTGTGGATGGCTGATGGCGCAGCCTTATCGCACATCCCTGTTTCAAAGAGGGGATGAGGTTTCACTCACAGGTGGGCGATAAGGCGTGCACGGCAGCGGCTGCCCGGGGGGGGAGGAGTGGAGGGTTTAGTAAAGTCAGTAAAGTTTAACAGCCGTGTGAGGGCTCCACCACCTGAAGAGACTCTTGACAAGGGAGGCATCTACCTAGCCAAGGCTGAACGGGCAATGTTCAGAAAGAGATAAGGGAAGAAGAGAGACGAGACGAAGAGTGTGGGCGGTCTCGGAGAATATGGCGATGGGATTGAATGGCAGATGCAATCGACGAAGTGCACAGGTGTGTGTAGTAGTATCCTAGGTTAAGTCTCGTTGGTGAGGGGGTGGAGATGGCGATGGCGATGGCGATGGCGATGGCGATGGGCTGGTGAGACCGGGGGCGGGAGTTCTGACAAGCGGGGCGGGGGGGGAGGATGCAACTGCGGTTGCAGGTGCAGGTGCAGGTGCGCAGTTGCAGGTGGCACAGAAGCTAAGATAACGAAGTTCACCTAACATTGGATTAGCTGCAGGTGGCCACCCACCTGTGCTGTGGGCACTGGGCACCTACCCTCCTACCTAACCTTAGTCGCCCCTCGGTACCTAACCTGCAGTCCTCGTTTCCTACCATACCTAACGTCCGTCTGTGTGCCTTTTTCACCTCCACATCAGTCTGCTGGGTATGGGTACTGGAGGCATTGGTAGCCAGAACTCTGCTGGGCATTGAAGAGAGATACGGCGAGGCAAGGCGAGCTATTAGCAGTAGATAGCTGTGACATATGAGCAGGTTGAGTGAGATACAGATGAAGAGCAGCCGGGCCATGTGTGCAACGTACCCAGGTACCTAGTGAAGAGATCTACCTAAGTACCTACCTGGCTCGCTAGGCTTGTAGGTCGAGGTATGCAGGTGTGATCCAGAGTTTAGGCGCGGGATAGAGCGATGAAGAGACGAGGAGGCGGCATGGCTCGACTCGATTCGATTCGATGGCCCTGGTCGTTTGGCCGTGTTTCGCAATCGACCTAGAGCGACCGCTGTGGGGGACACGCAATTGGTCAGCTCCTACTTATGTGCTTCCATGCAGATGCGTCTGTTGGCTCATACCTGGTAGTCTACCGCCTCCCTACTATACAGTAGGTAGCTGCTCCATGCCTTCCGACCGGTTTTTGGTGGGCTTATTATTGCAGAGGGTTTTCTTGACTTGTTAGGACGAGGTCTGCAAACCCTTCACTTCGCTTTACTTAGACACTTTAGACACCGTCTGCATGGGGTATGGTATGTAGACCAGTCTCCCAAGCAGAGAAAGGAAGATGGCTAGAATCTCAGATAGATGGTTGGATGGGACTTCTTCGAGAGACCACGGACAATGCTGGCAGGAGAGACCTCAGGGAAGCCTTCGAATGTAAGAAGATGGTATCGAACTCTGGATGCCTACTCTACAATACCTAGGCACTGCTAGGTGACCAGTTGGTTCTGGACTCTCGAATACCGGTACATTTGTAGGTCTTTCCTGGCTCGTCCAAATCACCCATCCGCCCATCCATTCATCCATTCGTTCGATTTCGACTAGGTGAGAAGACATTACGCGACATAAACATACAGTGGAGAGACGGTGGCTCTGTGGTCTGTTCTGTATCAGGGCCACTCAACATGATGGCATGTCGGATGGATCGAGGATATGGAAGTGGAAGTGTAGGTAGACAGGAAGGAGGGTGCTGGACAACTCTACAATTGGAGTCACCCCTCACATTGTCATTGATCGATCAAGGCAGGGGTATAGGGGTATCGAGTCCAAGGTATGCAGTACCGTACTGCATAATGGTTGGGTGAATCGACAGTGGGCGGCTAGTGTTGGGGCCCTTGGGGGGCGGCTGTTGCTAGTGACCCAATTGGGTGGCCCCTCCTCTTCCCCTCCCCCCCTTCCAGGTTCTCCCTCCAGCTCCCCAGGGTGCCCAGGTGGTCATATTATCCACGCAGATGGTACTGCGTAAGCAGGCTCGCGGGTTAGGAGAAGAGATGACGAAGAATAGCTCAACTTGGCTTCGGTAGCCCAGAACATCCCCGGTGGGGGCTTGTGCTTCTTGAATGTTTGAATTGATATCCTGTTTTCACACTGAGGGACCTAGAAAGAAGGTAGAACCAAAAGAGGGTCTGTCCTGTATTTCCAAGCATGTTACTGCATACCTACATGTAGGTGGTAAGGTGGGTGGGAGCTTGGGCCAGTCATGTCATGGGCAGTAACGCCGCCCAGGTCCAGGAGCTAGTCTACTGCGGGGCTGTTTTAGCAGCCCCGTCGAACAGTCGGGGATGGTCAGCTCTCAGCGACTCTACCAGCTACGAGCTTGCCTGGGGATTTACATACATGCCTTACCGGCCTATGTCCTTAGATCGCCGATGACGATGCATCGTCAACCAAGATCGTGGATGTCTTATTGATAGAGCTGTATGGTGGTACTTTGGAGGTGCAGAGAATGACCCTCTCCTCCATCCATCTAAAAGCAGTTAGGGATGTATGTTTGCCCTGCACCCTAGGTCAGTATATGGCCGAGGTTGTATCTGCAAGTGTTTTTTTTTTTTTTTTTAAATCGCTCGCCATTCGAGTGTCAAGCACCTCACAGCGTTCTGGTTGGAAACTGTCTCTTGCTTTGCCTGGCTGGTTGGCCCTCTATCGGCCGATCACTCATCTACCTGGGCTGTTGTTGCCTGGGTTGTGCCTGTCGGTTCAGAACTGGTCGCTCTCGATTGTCGTGTCAGATATCAAGGCGGATTCGGCCATCTGGAAGTCGAGGCGTTGCCCTTTGGAACCGTTGGCTCTCTCATGGAAGAGGCTCTTCCTACACCCAGTACAGCGGTTCCAACCCCAATCATCCTAGACCAGATCTTAAGCCCTTTCGCGGACAAGCGTCGCGCATGGCCACTCACGGTTTTGTGCTGCAATACTATATAATATCATATCTGCCCTTGGTCTCGATGGTGCAGGAGAAACCCTGCCGCGGCTGCGAGTGCCATTGGAGGTCAGGGCACCTGTATGCCCGCGGTACAAGTAACATCACAGCCTGAATCAATCAAGAGCCGTGCTCCCTCACACCTCTCTGCACGACTGCAGTAGCGTGTCTGCCGCGGGTTTCTCCTTGCCGTGCCGAGCCACATAGTCCTATAAGCGTGTCACGTTAAAATACAATCCTGCACTCCGGCCGCATCCTCTGCACCCTACCTTGGTCTTGTATTGTTCCAGTTCCGTGTGCTGGGAGTTACGACACCTGGACACGACCGATCACCTTCATTCGAAAGCTGCCCCGGCTGGCCAAAGTGTGTTATCACACTGCTCAGTAGTAATAGAATGGCCATACCAAAGGGTAATGGTAGCATCTGCAATAATATATATGCCCTGGCAGACGGCACTGTCTAATTATCCTCTATAGACCACTCTATATCGCGCCGGACTACGAACCCATCAAAGGCACACGTCAATGCCCCTGGACGCGCAAGTGAAGTCAGCCTTACCCCTGACAATATGTATCAATGGGATACCCATTCCATGAGACGGAGACGACATGGCCATCGGAATGGCATCTTCGCGTACTCAATGTCTCATCAACCTAAACGCCGGTCTAGTCCATGTTTTCCCCATATTTGAGTTGGCCTGGCACACTCGATGGTATCATCGCCTGGATCTTGTAATACAAAGAGCCATACTACATCTCACAAGTCCGATGCCAACGGCCCTCCGGCACATTGAGAATGTCGATGTTCGCATCACATGAACCCTGTCATGTCATCATCTTAATCGTCGCTTGTTATGCCTAATCCGATGAGGACAACGGTCGCCACATCCATCACCACCACAACAGTCCAGATGATCCAGGCAACAGCTGCTGTTGGGATCGAATTTCTCATGCTGACCGTTCCGGTACCGTCATCCGTAGGGACTCGCATATACTTCTCACGGCTGGTGTAGTACACGAGCGGGAACGTGATGAAGATGAGGCCAATTGCCAGGATGTAATTGCATGCAACGAGCGCCTGGGAGAGGCCGTCCTTGCCCACGGAGACAGCAACAATGAAAGCGGGGATGATGGCTACGCACCGCGTGGCCAGTCTCCTGAGGAAAGGGTTGATTCGGATCTTCAGCGCGCCTTCCATGATCATCTGACCCGCCATCGTCGCCACTATGCCGGCACTGATGCCGGAGAACAACAATGACACAGCGAACAACGTACCGGCGGCCGGTGCGATCACCGTTGAGAAGAGGTCGTACAGGTCGTAGAGATCCCCGGAGATCTCGTCGTCGCTGTCGGGGTCGTAGAACGACGCGCCCGAGATGATGATCAAGGCCGAGTTGACGAAGACAGCAACGGTGAATAGTGTAAATGTGAGCTCGGCAATCGAGTACGAGAGGCATGACTTGATGGCCCGCAGTGAGGGGCGATAAAGGCTGTCGGTGCTGGTGGTCGGGGTGGCATTGGGACTTAGATTATGCTTCACGTCGTATTCGTACAAGCGAGGTTGCTGAAGCGCTGTGCCAACATAGATGGCATGTGGCATAAGCGTGCCGCCGAGGATGGCACACGACTCATAGAGGCCGGTACTGACGAAGATATCTCGAGACGGAAGAAAGCCCTTGAAGACGGGACCGGCCGGGGCAGATATCATGGCCAGGGCGACGCAGATGGTGATGAAGATAGCCAGCACGAGGAGCGCAATGAAGATCTCAAAGATGCGGATCCGACGCATCTCACCATTTGATTTGTAGAACAAGAGGATAATGAGCGTGTCAGCGACGGAGACAACACACGCAGCCGGGAGGGGCAGCTTCGGTATCAGAATGTTCAGGGCGATGGCAGTACCGACGACCTGACCAATATCAGTACATACAATACACGCCTCGGCGATAGCGTAGATGAAAAGGTCCAGCCATCTTGGCAGGTATCGGTGGTTCATCTGAGCCAGGTCGAGCCCAGTCACGGTGCCGAGCTTGACACACAGTGACTAGTTTTGCAGGGTCAGTGGCTTGCCTGAGAGAAGGTGCAGTATTGGGCCGGAACGTACCTGGAGAAAGATGGCGACGATGTTGGAAACCAGGACCATGAAGAGGAGCTTATACTGGAAGGATGCGCCCGAGGAGATTGCGCTTTGGTAATTGTCAGGATCGACGTAGGCGACGCTGACGATGGCACCAGGGCCGAGGAATTTGAAGAATTTCCAGAGCTTGGCCCATGGCCCTCGAGGCTCAGAGTATGGCGAAGTATCCGATGGGAAGCCGAATCTACGCCTTGTCGAGCTCCACCAGGTCGAGGCCCCGGCGTCCTCCCCAGGAGCGAAAGAGGAGGCGGCTGAGATGGCCGTCTTCTCATCGCCGGGCCGAGGGACGCCCGTGTCTGAGGCGGGACGGACCTCCGATATTGCGGGCCCTGTGGAATCCGGATTTGCCATTGGAGGGAAATTTAATGGAGATGAGCAACACACAAGATAGTCGGGGGCGCTGTTCTCGAGAGACGCAAATGTGTCCTTGTCTATGTTCTCTCTTCTCCGGGGGGGTTTCTTTCTCGCCAGGCTAACAGGAAGACGGAGGGAGTAGAACGGGCGGCTACAGTGGCCCCAGTCTCTTGGTCCGTCGACCGGCCAGTCAATTGGTCCCCCAATAAGTCACTTAGTCGGTCTCGAGCAAGCAACAAGCCGTGAGGTCTCACGAGGCAGAAGTCGAAAAATCGGGAAACCGTAGCGACGGTCATGGATGGCATCGGGCTGGGTGGCTTTTATTGTAGGACAGGCTGGAACTTGGGCACGGCCCTAATGTGGGCAAGTCGCATAGAGCAGGTAGGTAGGTACCTACATTGATGCTCAAATGGGCCGAGAAGGCTAAGACCGCGAGTCTAGCTACAGGGGTGGCTTGATGGGTGGGTTGCAGTAGGTGAGGTGCGTAGCTAAGTAGGTAGATTGTGATTGTTGAGATGCGCTCTGCTGGGCCGGCGCAGACCCGGGAGGTGCATTGGATGGACGGATGTACTCTACTGTACACCTCGTGCATACCTGACCAGGCATGCCCAGATTCTCTGTCTGCCGTACAAAACCTTTCTTCGACCCATGTCAGGCTGTTACTGTTGGCATCTGCTGCGGAACTACCTTAGGTTGTACATATATCAACTTCCGTAACTAGGATGGTAGGCTACTAGGAGGCAGCCCTGAGATACCTGTGGGAAAAGGGTAATTGGTAACGCTGGGTAGCTCGATTAGATCGCTCAGATCAGGAAATCGTCTAGGCAATGGATCAATCTGCAAAGAACTCGTCTCAATCGCATGGGGGCGGGAAGTCCGTAGGGAAGGGTCTCGATCGAGGTCCAGGCACTTCAGCGTATCAAGCTTACTACTGGAGGATAAGCTTAGCTTAGACTCGGGTGCTCCAGCTCCACGGTGGTGGACTTCTAGGTGGTTGTACTAATCCACATCCACGGTGATCCACCTCAGCCCTTCTCTATCCCAGCTACCAGTCAATAGTCTAGCTGTCGACACGATTCCATACTACCGGTAGCTGCTAGACCATCCACCACCGCAATGTGGCTGTGGGTGATTTCATGGCTGCGAAAATTCTCGTGGCCACGTCGTGGAGCCAGGGGGCTACCTCGCTACCTAGCCAAGGAACCCACGCGCGTAGTCCATTGGCTGACGCTTCGAGAAGCTCTGCTACATACCGACCTAGATGAACCTACCGGACTGTAGGATGATGTTCAGATGGTACTATGTAAATCGGGCAAGATACAAAGAATCCAGTATCCGTCGGCATCTGCCTGCCGTCAGCGGATGGCCCGCCGTAACAGCAAATCTAACCTCCCTATTCCGGAAGCACAACGGTGGCGGCCTGCATATCTCGGCGTACCGTAATGTGGTCTGCAAGAGCAGGAATCGAATTGCCATCTGGAACAGCTAAACATACGGCTTGATAATATATCGATCTATCTACCTTTCTAGATTACTCGGTCATGAAAAAAAGCGCAATGCTAATCTCGTTATGAAAGAAGAAACGAAAGAAAAGAAGTAAGATGAGCAATAGGACATGTTCCAGCTTGGCTCGCCCACGAGGCGATCAGCCAGCATACAGTACACCTGGGCAGTCTAGACCCGCCGTATAAAGCCTGGCTCGGTTTGAATAGACGCAGGGGGTGGCCTTGCCCGGCGAGCCTACCTAAGCCCAGCTAGCTCAGGTACAGCACTAGCGTGGACGCGGATTTTCAATAATTCGATGCCCTCTGACCCGCCATTTGTCGAATCCCATGGCCACTCTTCCAATAATCTGATAATATCTGCCGATCCGACAGCGGGTGACGGACTCATTCGTCAAGGATGGGAACGGGAAGAGAGAACGAGATGCCATTTTTCGCAGCACTGCACACAACTGCGCTTAGAAAGGAGGCGGATAAAATGCACAAGCGCATTGAACACTTGATACCCTACCGTAATCGCAACGCCTACACCTCGGTTTCCATTAGCACATTACCTTGCGTACCTTGGGCAGGTAGAATCAGTTCCAGACGAAGACAAGCTGACAGGAGCAGCAGGAATAAGCATTTCTTTGTGTCTCGCCAGTTCCCGTCCGCTGACTCTGGTGCCTCTTGGCCTGCGTGGCCCCCTGCTGTTCTCCCCACTTACCCAGGGAGGTATCACAGTACCTAGGTAGGTACTATAGTTATTACCTAGGTATCCTCCTGTCAATCCGCCCACCTGGGGGCCTGGGTATGTAAAGTACGTGCACCTAGGTATGTGCCGTGAAAATCTGGTCACCGGGGATTTACTGTCATACCAAAATACTGTATCATTAACAATGATAAGGCACGATTTCTTGCAGGTTCGCAGGTACACTTGCAGTTGTACGTATGCTGCTCTCAATTACGCGCTTGCTTCTTCTGCTTTCTTGTTCTGCTCTGGCCGTACTTCCCGCCAGGCGGAGCCCGCGTGGATCTATCGGCTTTGAGTCTCAGGAGGCTTTAGGTCTGCCAGCAACAATATATACTCCTTATAGGTAGATAGTTAAAGAAATAGAAGAATAAGCAAAAGTCAGCGCGTAAGATTAGAGAGGCTGCTGTGGGAAGCCGAGTCCATCCAAGTAAGATGATGTGCGCTATGCACTAGATACCTACCTAGCTGTACCTTGCAGGAAGCGCGCATCCAAGTCAGCTGGCCGGCCCCCTATAGGGAGGCCCGTAAGGGGGTCTGGGTTGTGGGAGGGGGCTTAAGTAGATCGGGTTTCTCTCGATTGACGACAGTCCGTTTCCCTCTCGCCTTGCACTTCCTCGTCGTCCTCCGTCCTTTGCGTCCGACCTCACGGCACCGTCGCCGAATGCGTTCGGTCGGTCACCGGTCTTAGCTCTGTCATTTTTTCCGCTACTTTGGGCTCGAGAGCTTAAGTCACACTTCACGCATCAGCTCTTCACATTCGCTTAGTCTCCCGACATCGTGTACGGCCCTAAAGAATGAACTGAAGAAAAACAGCCCCGTTCCTTTCTGCGCTGCATCACATTCGGGACGACGGTGTTTCCGTGTGCTCCTATCGGCCTTGTATTGCGCGTACGGAAGAGGTGGGATTGGGGGAATTAAAAGAAAAACAAAAGAAAAAAAAACTCCCGCCATGGCAAACATCGACACGCTGTTATTCAACTTGGCCTCCTTCATCGCCGGGCTCTTCCTCCTCGAATATGGCGCTGACAAGTTTGTCGACAATACAGCCATTGTTGCCAAGAGGCTCAAAGTCTCACCCACCCTTGTCGGTCTCTTGACTTGTGGCGCTGAATGGGAAGAGGTAGGCATTTTCTCGGCCACACTATCTCCTGTGTATTCTTTTCTCTCTTCGCGTTTGCAATGGCTTCGTCGAGCCGCCCATTGTCGTCCAAGTCAAGAATGGAGGACTACCACCGCCAGCATGCGAAATGAAATGTACGAGGTCATATGCTGACGTTATTCGATGCACAGCTTGTCGTGATTGCCGTTGCCCTCGGCCAAAATAGACCCACACTAGCGTTGGGTAACTTGATAGGATCTAGCATTGCCAATATACTGGCATCATTCTCGCTGGGACTTTTCTTCATGAGAACTTCTACCTTTGATCGCAGCTCCAAGATCTACTCTGCAGTTCTGCTCGCTCTCACCTCGGTCTTCCTCGTGGCACTTTACGCCGTGCCAGCCCGTCTGAAATGGCTGGCTGGCCTCGCTCTCATGGGTGCATTCGTCGTCTACGTCGGTTCCGTTGCCTCGTTGATCTACAGAGGCACGCTCACTGCCCCAGAAGACGACTCGGATAGTGACAGCGTTTCGGACTCGGACGGGAGCAGCAGCAGCAGTAGTAGCAAGGACGAGGACGAGGCTGGGGTCATTCCCGAGGACAGCGACTCGGACCTTGAACTGCAGGAGAAGCCTGGCGGCCCAGACACCGCAATCGCGTTGAATAGTCTTCGGCACAGTATGCTGCCTCATGCGCCTCGGAAATCGAGAAAGATGAGGCCAGTTCGAACCATCAGATCGCGTCCCAAGCCCATGTGGACGTACCTGCTTCGACTCATCGTTGGATTTATCGCCTTGATGGTGTCGAGTTACGTCATTGCCCACAGTGCTGGGACATTAGGCTCTGAATTGGGCCTATCTAGCACCGTGGTGGGAACAACAATCCTATCTCTGGCGACAACCCTTCCAGAGAAGTTTGTGGCTATCCTTGGAGGCATGCGGCACCAGCCGGGGATCATGGTAGCGAACACCGTCGGATCTAACATCTTCCTGGTGACACTCTGCGCGGGCATCATGTTTTTCTGGGCGAGCCCGGAGCAGTTAGAGGGTGGCTTCACAGCTTTTGAGGCAATGGTTATGTGGGCATCTTCGGCACTCATTTTCGTCATTGTACTCGGAGGTGGGCGATGGTGGATGGGTCCTGTGTTTCTCGCCTTGTATATTGCCTTCCTCATCTTCGAGCTTGCAAACGGCCGCGCACACAACGACGATTGAGCTGTTTTAGAACTGTTGAACATTGCAACACTGTAATAAAACCCAAATAGACTTTTAATACTCTTATGAGTTGCTATCATTTGTAATCGCCCTGAAATATGGATCGTGGAAGATTCGGCGGCCTATATATCTTACGATCATAACCTCGATAGGCCATGTCTAAGTAGACATCTCAGCAAACAGTCTATTGTTAGTAATGCCTGATAGTCATGTATCCGGCGTTGTTGGGGCCTTCAGATCGTTCTAAAGCGTCCGGCCACACGAACAGTAGCCGATATGTCTTCCAAGCGTGCATGTTATAGAACTACATGTTGCAACATCCTGTCTCGACCAGGTAGGTAGGTACGTAGGATCGATAAATGACAATGGAAAATGTCATTGAAAGTGTGTAAGGATGTGGAAACTCTTAAGATCGAGATGTGAGGCGCCTACCAAACCAATTATTAGGTCTGGTGGATACTTCAGTAGATACCTAGGTACCTAAGGTAGGCAAGCGGCACCTCCACACGTCATCAACGCCCCACAGCGCCAGAGCCCCAGCTGAAGCGAACCATGAGCTTGTCTGCCTGTTGCTTCCCTTGTGCGATACCAAGCTCCCCCTTGAGGAACGACATACGTACTTCAATAAGAAAGCCACCTGCAGACAAGGTCAAAGGGCATGTGATCCTTCATTCGAAAATGGTTCAGCCTCCAGTCTTCAGGTAGCCACGGCTCAGCCAAAACAGCTATACTGCCCAGCTCCTTCGATCATGGACTATTGCCGTGTTGCCGATTTGTCCCCGGCTTACCGAGATACCACAGTGGCTACCGTTTTCTGAGTATGCTAGCATGCTGCTTCACTCTGCCCTCCTCATTACTGATCCGCCAGACTGACTTCATCAGCACAGCGCACTCTTCCCGACCGCCGGCAGATGACCATGTCATCGGCGCCTCACACCTACGGCGCGGCCTGCCGCTTAGCTCCAGTCTCGGAGCTGTCACCCCCGGCCGGACTCGAAGGCATACCCCCTATCCGCCCACAGTTCTTCTATGCTTCGCCTATCCCTATCGATGACCCGCTGTCCACCACAACTATTGCCGGATCTGTAGACAGCAAATCCTCGAAGCAGCAGCTCCGTCCTTTCTCTACCGGTGACAACAATGCTCTAGAGAAAGCCTGGCTATCGCTTGCCTCCGACGATGACAGGCTCAACCACGACCATGCTCGGAGGGACAGAAGCCCTAGCCCTTCTCTTGCAAAGCGAAATGCCGAGAGGTTGAATGCAATAATACAAGACTTGGCGGCGAAGCACCTGGAAAAACACGCGCACGAGACTGACTACCAGGGAGCTCCCGAGCTCCTGCCACCAACACAATCGAGCACCGATATACAAATGTGTTGCCCTGAGCTCGCTATGGATGCAGCGAACGAGTTAAGAGAGTCTTTTTGCGCCGTGACCAGGAAGCGACAACAAGGTTTAGACCAAGACAGAATTATTCGGGCTGTCATGACAGTTATAAAAGAAGCTCAGTCTGATCTAGAGCCGATAGCCAGCACGTCGATAAATGAAACAAGCCAAGGAAGACAGATCTCATCAAGCCTATTCTCCGCCAACCCCACCGCCAGCAGCCCATTCGTGCTTACCAGTCTCTCGACTTCTTCTCGGGCAAGAAGCTCTTCCCTGTCAAATAAAGACGACCGTTCACAACTTGGGCAAACCAGAGACCGGTCAATCACTAATGCTTCCACATCCCCATCGGATTTCCCCCCGGTTCTTGGAGAGGCCGGCGCTACCCTCTCTACGACGACAGCTCCGATTCCCATCCGACCTCCAGTTGTAGATGACGGAATTTCTGGAAAGCCGTTTATCAGAGTCGAGGGATCTGGAGGCAATCAAGCTGCAGCTGCATCACCTCTGAAGAGTGACGCGAAATCTCAGCGCAAAGTCCTTGATGGGCAAATAGCACTAACTAGTAGAGATGAACAATCTCATAACGTCAACGTCCTTAGAGAGCAGAAGCGGGTCGACAGGCGACAGAGAGAGAGCATCGTTGACACACCAGTGGGTGTGTCCAGGCTACATTTGGTCTCGCTACCTGTGCTTCAGATGAAGCCAATTTATTGGTCTCCTGTAAACGATGTCGCTATCGTGTTACGGGCGACATGGTTCTATAGGTATGCTGTTTGCTGCAATTCATCATCCATAGGTAGCTAACCAATCATGCCCTAGGGATAATATGCTTCCAGTAGAACCTGCTGTTGCAAATCAATTAGAAATTGGATATCGTGAACTTCGGCCATATAGTGAGACCTGGAGGGACGAGGTCAGGTGTGCAATAGAAATTGGCCCTCTAGGCGAGGAAAAGGTCTCCCATCCTCTCTGGCCAAAGCCAATGAGGTTATCTAAAACGAAGGACGAGGATATTGCCGAGCCTCCCATCTCGTCTGACCCATTTTGTGCGGCTCGATGTTTTCGTGGGGAAGCCTCGGCTGAAGGCACACTCGAGCCGGTACATCCAATTCAGGATCCTGCCAACCCACCTGTGCCAACGAAGATGTATGCCTCCTATCATGTCATCTACAAAGATGCCGGGGTTGCCTTTCTCCTTAAGCCAAGCCTTAAGCCATCCGCATACTACGGCCGCAGACCGGTCGCAAAGATATCAAGAGGTTTGACGGTTGGGATACCAGTTATCAGGGGATTTGACCAACAAGCATGGGAAGCGATTCACGAAAAGAGGAGCACTATGCCGAAGAAAGAACCCAAAATCGTCTCTGAGCAGACCCAGCCTCAAATCGAAGGACATGGTACATGTGCTGGCTGCAAAACGGAGTTAGACCAGAGTCAAGTCACTGATCTTGTCTTGATAGCTCATGGAATTGGGCAAAAATTCGCAGAGCGCGTGGAGAGTTTCCACTTCACTCATGCGGTCACGGCTTTCCGCAGAGCAGTCAACCTTGAATTAAGGAGCGAAGCTGTTAAGTCAATTCTGCGCCCCAATCACAATGGGATCATGGTCCTGCCAGTCAACTGGCGACATAGCCTTTCATTTGAGGACGGCGGACCGGTGAAAGAAGAGGATGAGACAGCCTATACGGCAGATGGTTTCACCCTTAAAGACATCGAACCTAGCACTATTCCCGCCGTTCGTAGCATGATCTCCGATGTCATGTTTGATATACCATTCTACATGTCACATCACAAGCCGAAGATGATTGAAGCACTTGTGGGTGAAGCGAACCGCGTGTACCGTCTATGGTGTAGCAATAATCCTGGATTCGCAAAAAACGGTCGCGTTCATCTTATTGGACATTCTCTCGGGAGCGCCATGGCAATCGAGGTTCTGTCGAAGCAACCCACCCAGGTTCCGAGGCTTGATCTGAGCAGACCGCAACCGGAGACTACGTTCTTCGAATTTGATACCACAAATCTCTTTCTCCTAGGTAGTCCTGCCGGCTTCTTTTTACTCTTGGAAAGGGGAAACCTCATTCCTAGGAAGGGACGACAAAAACCGGGCGCCGACCCTGCCGATACAGTTGGTGAAGGCGTTGTCAGTGAGGCTGGTATCTTCGGCTGCATAGCGGTCGATAATATCTATAATATACTCGCCAAGGAGGACCCAATCGCATATTTACTCAACGGCACCATCGACCCAGTCTACGCCTCCAGTCTTGAGGTAGCACATGTCCCAAGCGCAACTACGTCTTGGTACAAATCTGTTGGGGATGCGATACGTACCATCGTACCTGGGGTGGCGGCCCCGACGGATGTACCTGTGCCGGGGGTAGTGAAGCCCCCGACCGTTCGATTCCCATCGCAGCTGGAGCTTGAGATTCATGACTTCACACGGGAAGAAATTGCTGAGAGGAAGGCATTTCTGCTGAACGATAACGGACAAATCGATTTTTACCTGCGCTCAGGTAATGGACCTTTGGAGATCCAGTATCTCAATATGCTGAGTGCTCACACCAGCTATTGGACAAATAGAGATCTAGTCCGTCTTCTCTGCATTGAGATAGGGAGGCGCCCGGGCAAAGCACATACACTTCCGGTGATGAGGGCTGTTAAGGCGAGCAGACGCTTGCTTCCATTGAGACGATAAACAATCAGATAAAAGTTTGTCGAGAAAGGCGAGCGGCAAGGCCGCGTCAGAAGCTTAGCATCCCGCAAAGGTTGATTCCTTCTTGACAGGATATTTCCTTCGTACAGCGAAGATACACCATATAGAATAATACAGGACTATCATTTGGCATCAAGTTGGCACTTATTCGGCGTGAATGAACGCCCTTGCACTTTGCAATGTATTTCAAATGCCATCGAGCTCCATCATGCCTTCTTCTAGTTCCTCAATGTCTCCATATTCGTCCTCGTCCATGCTTTGCGGAGGGCCGCCGGCCATTTGCAGGCCATCTTGCAGCTCCCTAATCTTCTCCTCGTCCATTTTCTCCTGGTGCTTCCGCAAATCCTCAGAGCTCCAAGTGCTAATGCCCTCTTGATCTTTAGCCCTGAAAGGCTGGGCCATAGTCCTCAAGAATTTCCTTGCGCTGCCGACTGCCATATCTGTACTGAGATTGGTCTCGGCATCCGATAGGGCTTGGTTGATCCACTTTGGCAGCTGAGTTCGCTTTTTCTGGAACCTACGGTCTGCAAGAACCATGATACCATAGTCATCCTTGCCTCTCAAGACTCGACCCAGACACTGTGCGGCATGACGCATAGCATCAAAGGACAAGAAATCATTCTCCCGGATGCGATAGGTCTCTCGCAAGAATTCCAGTCGAGCCTTGAGTATTCGTGATTCCGTGTATTGGAACGGAACGCCGATACATAACACCGTTCGGCCATACTGGTGATCGAAATCAATACCTTCTGATACCTTCCCACGTGCGACACAAAGCAGGACAGCGCCACGACCATTGCAACACGCGGTACGGTATGTCTCAAGAGCGAGTGACGTCTCCTGAGCATCAGGTGTTTCGACAAGGATGAGTTTGTATTTCCAAACTTCGTCCAGAATGCCCATACCCTGCCACATACTGATGATCGACTCCATATACAAGTATGAGGGGAAAAAAACCACCATTCCATCCGGTGTGATTTTGGCAAACTCGGTCAGCAGATTCCCATAATTTCGAACTACACTCGGCTCGTTTCGAACCTGGAAACTTGTTGAGATGGAGGCCTGATCACTCCCTCGCGTGACAATCATGGGTAAGAATGACTTCCTGGCGAGTGTCATGCTGTATGATTCTTGCACGACAGTGGGAAAGGCAAGCATCTTTGGATACATCTCTAGCGGCGATATGGTTCCAGAAGTGATGATCACGGAGCTAAATCTTTCGAAAACCGGCTTAATGGCAATGGCTGCGTCGAGGCAGGTGAAATGAAGGATGGGGTTCGGCACCTCAGCTGTGTCCGACTCAAAGGGCTCCAGGATAAGCAGGAACCCTTTCTCATAGGTGGAGACAAGCGTTGCGAATGTTGCGACTTCCTGCAATGGCTGATAGTCTTCGATATTGGTAAGTTCCAGCGTTCTGACCAATGATGTCAACCGTTCGGCGCAGAATCGTAATGGTTTCTTCTCTATGAAGGTGTATTCTCGAAGATGAGCGAGAAACGACGGAGGCGTTTCTGAGATTACTTGCCGCACCTTCATACGCGTCTAAAGGATGGTAAATGAGTGAACTCTAAATGACAGCACATGCATCCACACACCTTGAGATACTCAATGAATCTCTTGAGAAACGCCACGAAGTGCTCGGCTCTTCTGATGTTTCCGGGAACAGCTTCCTTCAGCAAGTCTTCTGGAAGGGCTATAGGAAGAGTCAGAACTGGACGTGGGATCGCGGCCATGCAGCTTACCCGGATTCGCCATGAAAGCATCCTCTTGGCGTGCTTCGTCGGCACCTCTTAAGCCTTCAACAAGCTTTTGATATTCGTTTTCAAGCTGCTTCTGGTCGGTCTCCCTCATCTCGGAGATCTTCTTCTCGAGATTTTGTGCGCCACGAGTGGCTCTTCGCAAAGAATCTTCGGTAATATCAGTACTTAGGGACTCGATACACACATTGTCGATGTTGTGGGCCTCATCGAACACGACTATGCAATCTTTGGAGAGTTCCCTGGAAACACGTTCGGCAATTTTGGGATCCAGAAGGTAGTGATAAGAGTAAATGATGACGTTGCAGAATTGCATCTACCTTTGTATCAGATTCCCCCACTCTTGCCAGTTATGAGCGGGACATTACTCACCATGCGACGGGCGGTAAAATACGGGCATTGCTTGTGTTGCTCGCCATACCGCAAGAGTCCATCAAGCGTCCAGACGCCATTAGGTATAAGGTTATGAGGCTCGAGCAGATCAAGATTCTAGGTACGTTAGGCTGTCGTAAATACCAGAAGAGGCGCTGTTAGACTTACATCATGATAGATACACACATCGACGTTCTCACCCCTGTCTTTCTTTTCCTTGACGAAACCGGCCGTCAAGCTACGACAACGAGCATCGACAATGCTGCCACTTTTCTCTCTCTTTACTGACGGATGAAGACAGAGATTCTTCCGACTCGTTAGGCCGAGGCCGCGGAATTCTTCTTCGTGACCTAGTTGTTCTGCACGATACTTCATCAAAGCTTTCAGTTCGGTCAGTGCCTTCTCGATCTCAGACATAGTACCTGCACAGAAAGAGCCGCTGTTAGCGTAATAGGAGAGGCATGGTCAGCTTGTTACGCACGCGAGCAGTAAATAAGCTTGCGGCGTTCCGGGGAGTGCTGTTGATATGCTACAATCAAAGATAGCAGTGATACAGTCTTTCCTGTACCCGAAGGCATCTCCAAAACGCAGTGTCCGCCCGCGTCGAGCGTTCCTATAAGGTATATCAGCCTAAGTCAAGGAGGCGGGCATTCGTGAACATACGCTTGAGATCGCACATGTAGCTTGAAAGCCGATCATTGTGAGTACTATAGTCTTGCAAAGGTTTGCTTGGTGCAAACTTACGCATATTGCTCTGGGGAAGCCAGTTAGCGTGTCTCAAGCTATGGTGAGATCGGACATACCAGGATATATTCGTGGGTAGGGAAAGAGAACGGGCAGGTCACTGCAGTCTAATTAACATGCCTGCTTTTCAAGACTGAGTGATGGGGAGCTTGCTCTATGTGAAACAACATGGCTGATGACGACCGAGCGGCTGGCACCGCTAAGACGTGCACTCCCTCTAGCAGAAGATTACGGAAATCTGTTGCCAGTCGACGGTCGTTGCTTGACGAGCCGTGCTCCTGTGTCCCGAGAAATTAATCGTCAATCGTACGTCTGCTCTTCGATTCGGAAGTTGCAGATATTCTTTCGCAGTACCCGGAGAGGCGGGTGGTGCTGAGCGTCGTGATGAGTGGCCCAGTCGATCAAACTTCTTTCAGCATATCATACGAGCATAGGAAAGCTAGCAGGCTCTGTTCAACTAAATGAGTCTTGATGGCGGTAGAATAGATGCAGGCGATGTGGATTATGACGTTCCTTGGGTATGTAAGGTAGTTACTGTCTCTGGAAATGGGTTCAGTGATGACGGCGATATCGATGATCTTGAGCTCCGTTGCCTACTCGCATCACGTGCGGTGTCTGGCCTTTAATCCACAAAACGCGCTAAATATGGTTGTCAGACGCGGGACCACGTGACACAGTTATAGACGATATGTTCTTTTCAATTCCCAAAGCACTCCGCAACATGAGACTTCGACAGATCCTGCATCATATTTGTCGTGTTTATATCAATTGTCTTGAACTGACGGAATATGATAACTTCCGATTTTTGAACTGCTCTTTTTATTCCCTTTCGTTCAAAGGGCAGCATTTAAACTAAGCGCACAGCCGCGTGCTTAAACCTAACTTGTCTAATTCATCCCCGTCAGGGGAAGTCTCGATAGTAGGAGTCTTACAAGCCAACAGGATGTATTTGAAACAAACTATGCTCCTGCGCAAAAGTACGAGACATAATCATATCGATAAGCTAAATTGAACAACCTCCTCTCATTCATATCCTGCCTCCTCAATTCCGAGTGGAATCACATTCTTGGCTTGTTCATTCAGCAGCATGGAAATCTACAGCAGCTGGGAACACTCACTAGTTCAATTGCTTGTTCTCCCAGCGTACACGCATTTGCGAATAGATCTAATGTGCAGTCAGGATCAGGCACGCCTATGCCAACTCATGAATTTCTCATGGATAGAAAACTGTCGTTGTCATCAAGTCACGGCTATTCTCCACGGTGCCACTAGAATTATGGAGAAACATCATATCTACGTGATTTTGGGAACTGAATAACACTTAAAATAACTCATTAGCATACCTTTCAGGATTAAGGTGGGCGGAGTTGAAGTTCGAGGCTATCTTGACATTGACGGAGCATAAAGTCCCTATGGCAGGGACAGTGCATCTGCATTCGCCCCCGAACCAGCCGCAGTTTCAAAAGGCAAGCAGGGGCGAGGCAAAGCAAAACACATGTGTGCTCGGTGGTTATACCTGCTCACTAAATAGACAGCTACTAGGCTAGGTCTCGGATTTTGCCGTGATGGTTCAATGATCGAACGCTTGTTTAGCCCATGGGGACACAAATAGATTCAGAGAGCCGAGATCTACGGAACCAGACACCAACATAGCAACGCCTGTCGCAGCTTGCGGATCGGCCTACAACGATTTTCAGAGTCATTTCGACGCCAGTCTTTGTGAAGGATCGAGATATGCATGGCTAACATGGCTAGCTGTTATATACCCGAAGGACGTATAGATGCCGAAGCTTGCGGTCTGTCCCTACGCCGTGATCCTGCAGATCGCGATCCTGATGGCAAAGAAGACAGCTACCAACTTAGCTAGCTTGCGAATCATGGAAGCGTGGTCCTTCTGTTCCCGGTCGCCAGGGGGAGCAACAAGCTGCTGACGGTGTGGATGCAATGACGTCGGGCTGAAAAGGGGGGAGGGCCATTCTGCAGCTTGCCCGTTGTGGTTTCCAACAAACATGATGAAGCCAGCCAGTGCAACCATCAGAAAGCAATTTATGCGGGACCGCCGGTTCATAATGGGGCGTGCAGACGCAAATTCTCGGAGAACAGGCATGAGGACGGCATGATTCTTCTTTTTTTTTTTTTTTTTTTGAGACGGGCTAATTATGGAAGATTGGCGTCTCATTGCTCGGCGGTGATTTTGACATCCAAGCCGATGGATAAGAAAGAAAAATCTAACGTTACCTGCCTCAAAGAGCAAAAGGAGTGGTCAATCTGCGCTGGTCTCGTGGATACCCTAGCAACTTCGGCTGAGCTAAAGCAGACACAGCCATGCTACCATGTGAATCATACGCTTGGTAATGAGCAGGGCCTCATTCCTTCCCCATGCTGCTCTGGCCTAGGAGTACAGTAGATATAAGACTAGGCTAGGCTCAGGAGCAGCGAGTGCCACATACCTGCATATATCAAGAGGATTCGTGTGGGAGAAGGCCATATAGGGCTGTGCCAGCATGTCTGCCAAAGCACAACAGCGATATCATCCTGGGCAGGGTAGGCGGCTTGAGTCCGTCCGAAAGGCGTTCAAGCGATGAGTTCCAACCACGTCGTGTCCAGTCAAACGAGTTTACTTAAAGTATAGCACAACCATAAAAGAGAAAAAGAGAAACCCCCCCCCTGATGACGTGCCCTCTTCCAGATGACAGTCGCGGATGCTGCTGTGCATAAATCAGTTCTGTCGGTTAATAGGCATCGCGAACAATGGTCCTACTGATGGTAATAATGGTGGTATCAGGAGCTTTGTCAGTGTAGATGGTGCTGGTGATGCTTGGCACGCTGGTTGGCACTGTGCACATCGCGCCTAACTTAGGGGGATCGGATTTGGTTGGTGTGTTCCTTAGCGGGCGTACCTAGGTAGCTTGACCTGTGCGTGTCCGCTTTTCCCCTTAAGCGCCGGCTCGGGAAGCAAGCAGCCCTGGAGGGCGGCGAAGCGTACGAAATACCTAAAGCATCCAAGTGCCACCCACCTGCCACCTACCTAGGTACTGTACTACTGCATAGTAGGTACGCTGGTAAGGTGCTGACACCGCCTTAGCTAATCCTCCGAGGCGGGACCAACAACGGTGTGCAGCGTACAGTGCCTATCTACTATGCAGTAGGTACTTCGATACCTATTCTGCAGTACGGTACCCGTAGGATTTCTGGCTGCCCTGCTTTGATCATGCACGAGGCCGGGCTGGGGAAGGGGGGTGTGCCTGTAGGACATTAATAAATTAACGTCTATTACCTCTAATAGCTACCGACACTACGCTGCACTACACGCCACTACATTAACACAGGACAGGGATCCCAGGCGACCCATGCAGACGGCGAATCCTTCAGTGCTCACTGCGAAATGGTTGGAAAAAGTCTCTTGCTCCAACGAGACTTGCTCGCACGAGCCAGGTCAAGACAGCAGATCCTCGTGGCCCCTCCCCATAAGGCCGTAAAAATCGGACGACGGGGGGGAACCTCTGTATGGGGGCTGCTCATTTGAGGTCTAGCTGAGTCGCCTCCCTGTAAGGCTAGAAAGCATTCGGTATTTTAGTCAGCCAGCTGATGTTCGGAGGGGGCTTTGGGCAGTGGGGACAGAGCAGAGCAGAGCAGGATGGCATCAAGAAACACGCCAGCATGCTAACTTGCTGCATAGTACATGCCTCACATGTTACCAGCAGTTGAGCTTGCTGTCCCCCAAAACGCCACCGGTTGGCAAGCCCTGTCCTCGTGCCTTGGGCTCAAGGCTCAAGGTAGCCCGTGCAAGCATAGCGCCATGTCCAAGAGCAGAGGTTTTCTAGAACGTAGGAAGTTATGCGAACAGCCCGGCGGGGTTTGTCAAATGCAAGACTGATCGGTTGGCTGAGGCACAGCACCCTCAAATCACCCAACAGTACCTACCTTCCAGGTTCCATACAAAAAGCAGGTATATCTGTATATCGTGTATTACGTAAGGGGGCCAGAAGGATATTACGTGCCGGACCCCGGCCGGCGGTTTGACAATGACATTGGACGACGACAAACTGAGTGGAAAGAAAAGGAAACAGCCGAACAACTCCTCTACGGCACAGATGGTTGCTTTGGAGTTGAAGCGACAAAAAATAGCATCTCCAGTGGAGTTCTCGATCGACTACAAGAACCTAAGCCACTTCGGTTATGTCTGCCCGGTAGGGATCGTCTTGTTCATCTCGTTTCTGGATAGCACGCACTCGTAGACCAACACGATACCGACTCGA